GGTGGTGTTCTAGCTTTATTGTTTTCATCTAAAATCTCATTTTCGTCAATTTGTAATGATTCTTTTTCTGTTACAGTAAGTGTTGACACACTATATTTATCAATTGAATCATTTCCTATTTCTCTGTCTGATTTTAGAGAGCTATCTTTTAGCGGTACAAATTTGTCTTCTTCTAATGGCTCAGAAGTTTGGTCATCTTTTCTTTCGTCGACATTTGATGGTATTTCATCTTCACTTTTGTCTTCCTCCTCTTCGTCATATAAGTTTATGTGTCTCTTGATTAAAGAAGGCGTGTTTAGTTTTATTTTTATAGGATTACGAGTATTAGTAGTAATAGGGCACCTTTTGGAAACCTTTTCTTTGTACTCCTCTTCTGACTTCTTTTTAATACTAAAATCGTTATGAGATTGCTTACTTGGATTCATAGTGACTGGAGTAGATTTCTCAGCATCTTCAGAGAAATCACGAACCGAGGTGATGTTAGTCACTGTAGTCGTTTCTGGTACAGGCATATCGTCATCTTCTTGGACAAGATCTTCGAGCCCATCATGAAGCGATTCGCTAGGTTTTTCCACAGGTACATTGTTAGAGATATTAGCTATATGGACACTTGTGGCTGAATATATAGAAAAATTAGGACAATCCCCATCCGAGTCCTCGTCACTTCTTTCATCATCTAAATTTGGACCAGATGGAGCAATTAAATTTATATGTTCCTTAATCACCTGTCTCACAGCAGTGTCAAGCACGTTAGGTGGAACATTAATGCCGGTGGTGTCAATGCCTGCTATGATGTCATGCACTTGAGGATGCGAGGTAGGCTGAAGGACCGGCGGCGTCTGCATGGCAGGTGGTGGTTGGAGGGGTGCCGCAAGTTCGTCGCCACTATAGTCTTCATCGTCGTCATTAGTGGGTTCCGTAGGATCATACTTTTCAGTATCAATTACAAGGCCTGAGTCACTCTTCTCGTCTTCGGATTTTTCCACTTCGGGTGTTTTATTGAATTCAAACATTGGTGGCTCCGGAAGGGGCTGATATGTTGTCACTGGTTTATCCTGCCCTTGGCTATCCTGATCTATGTATGATTCGACGTCCTCACTACTTGCAGATTCCTGTACGGGCATTTGACCCACTCTCATATCTAAAGGGTTTTCAAAACCACCAAATGAGTGTCTAGATTGTGAAGGCATATAGTCTTGACGTGGCCCAGGGCCTCCGCCATAAGACTGCCAGGATGGGCCCATGCTAAATCTACCTTGGTCATTGTGCCTTTGGTTTGGATTGTGTAAAAAATTTGAGTTTGGGCCTCTGTTGGTTTCAATTTGTGGAGGCTGTCTTCGGTTACGATCAAAATTGTTATCATCATTGTGTGAATACTGGTGGGGCCTCCTCAGGTAGTTACCATAAGAATCTGTCTCTTCACGACGCATATTATTTTGCTGATAAGAATTTCCTTGCCTATTTTGATATCCACTATTATAATTGTTTTCATAGTTGCCGCTCCTATTAAAGTTATTGGTGTTGCTTTGCTCTCTGTGATAGTTGCCGCGGTAACCGCCGCCCCAGCCACCGCCGCCGCGGGACTGCCCCGGGTATGATGGCACTTTCTTTGCGGCATCCTCCCCTTTTGATAAGTCCACTTTTTCCTCTGAGCTGGATTGCTTTTTAGGTTTACTTTTTTCACATTTTTCTAGTTTAATATTTACATTGCCATCTACAGAAATTGAAACTACAGAATTTTTAGAATGTAATAATGTTTGGCTCTCAAGTATACTTGAAAGAATATCTGGTGCTGATGTTGCATGAGGCGGGGAATTAATTGTAATATTTTTTCTTCGAGCCTGAAAAATATATTGTTCAAATTATTTTTATAGTTAATAGTCTTATACAGATATATTATACAATAGATGCTCAATGTTGGACGTTTCCAATATAATCACTTAAGACCACTTCAGAGTGAGACAAATTGACAGTAACATCAAAAAATAAATATTCCACATCAGTCAGATGGGTCAGTCTTTTCCCTTTCAGCAAATTGGTGAACACTCTAATACAAAACCTAAAAATAAGTTTAAAATATGTACCTGTCTGAACATGTTTAAAATACTAGATGTGGGCCTGGCTGCCACTGCAGTTGAAGCACCTTCCGAAACATCATGCTCCTCTTCAGAAAAATAATCAAGTTGATTTGGGTTTCCAAATAAATTTAGAGATGGGATACCAGCTCTGTGGCGCTGTTGTGATAAATTTTGTACTCCACAACTGGCAGATGAGGCTTGTGCTAAATCTTGCCTCTCATCAATCTTCATAGTAGCAAGCTTTGCTTGTACACTAGCCCGTACATATGATCGTCGAGCTGCTGTTCTTGATTGCCGCTTCTTTGTCTATCAAATTAATAATTAAGTAACATGTAATGTAATGAAAAATGATTAATTATAAAATATCTTATGTTATATATAATTTAGAAAACCACTTACTCGCCGCTTCTTAACTTTTCTTTTAATTCTCTTAGTGACTGGAAACTTGCCATTTTCTTCTACTTCATACTCTATAATTACAGTTTTAGTTTTTCTCCGTTTATACCTTCTTCTCTGTGTGCCTGCAGTTCTTCGTCTGGTTGTTATACGAGAGTTTCTAGAGCCCTGAGGCTCCCGGGATCCACGAGATGTGGTTGGTTCATCAAAATTTGAGTTATTGCCCCTTCGTCCAGTAGATGTAGAAGGCTCATCATTGGTTGTGATATTCCTAGATGACCTTCTAACATTTCTGGGTTCTCTAAGAGCTGAAGCTCGACTACCCAATGGTAAATCTAAATCGACAATTCCATCAAACAAATCATCAACTTCAGAAAGGTGTATGACGAAAAGATTATCACAATTTGGACAAAGCCATTGATCTGTTGGTACCTAAAACATATATATCCCTGTTAACATAATATGTCAAATCAAATTATAAACTAAATAACTAATGTAGTGACCATAAGCACATGCATTACATTTTTGCCAAAAGGAAATAATTTCATTAGTTTATTCTATTCCATTTTCAGTAGGCAAATATATGGATTCAATGACAATTATAATTATAAATTTAATAATATATTTCATTACCTCTGTGAGTGGGGGAGAGAGACATTGCATGTGGAAACCCAGGTCACAACCATCACATAGCAACATTGTTTCTTCATCATTTGTTCTGCCACAAACCTAAATAATATATTATTATTATTGCATAAAATATACCATTATTAATATATTAATGAACAATTGCAAATTAACTTTATACTGACCTCACACATAGTAGGATCCTCAATGACCAACAGGTCCACAGAGGGCCTACGTTCCACCACCTTCACTGGCTCAGTGCGCAGAGTACTACCCCCGGCACATGAGCGCACAATTATGTTATCAAATGTCATTCTGTCTACAGGACATGTGTTTACATTCTTAGACCACTCTGTGATGCAGTCCAAGCAGAATATATGCTCGCAACTCTCAGGTGTGCCCACCTCCTGGTCAGTGAATCGCAACAGACAGATAGAGCACTTGTCAGAGTTCCCTTCGGAGCTGTCTGATGCGAAACCAGATGTAGCCTTATTGGGGGTGGGCGCAGGCTTGACGGCAGTGGAGTGGTCGGTGGCCCACCCTGACGTGTCACTATCCCCGTCAGAGTCGCGTAGCTTGGGTATAGCCCGCCTGCGCCGCGTCCCGCGCACCACGGAGCTACCGCTACTCTCACTCTCGGCATCGCTGACCACCTGAAACGACACACATCACTAGTAATACAACACATCACGATTGAATCAACATCACGAGTTGCAACTGCGACTTGGGTTACCCTCAATCTCTTGCGACGTGTAGTAGTGGGACCAATTGTTTCGTCACTGTCCGAGCTAGATCCGGACGGCACTACCATCACCTTCTTGATTTTGCGCTTCGGGCGCGGCGGCGAATCTTCGCTGCCGTCGTCGCTCATTTTGTCAGAAGATGTAAACAGCGACCACTTTGGATGATCAGTACGCGGGACACGAAGCACGACACTGCAAAGGTGTAAATGACCTTTGCAGATTTATTTTCACATCTGTTACCAGACTTCTTACGTTCATTTAGTTAGCTAATATAATTAAACATCTATTGTTGATAATTCTTGCATACGCGTTATCTAAAAAATTATAGTATAGTATTTTGACAGCAAGCCGCTATTGATGGTTAATCGGCCATTTTCATTTCAGATGAGAAATGAGCGAAAGAGAGAGAATGTTAATAGTGTTGTTCATTGTGATCAGTTTTAAGTTGTACACGCATCACTTATAGTTCAAAATAAACATTTAAAATGTGTGAGGCGTAGAATTTTCAAAAACTAAGTACTCGTCATATATGCTTTCAATAATTACAGCCTCTATTTCACTGTTAGATTTAAATATTCATTTCAAATAACTTTTACATCTACCTTTAAGTTATAATTAAAAAAAAATCCTTATTTATTAATCCTAATTTGTACATCATAAAAAGTAATGCAGCTACTGAAATTTCGTTTAGATCTTCTGTTTTTGTTTTTTAGGTTGTAGAATGATTTATCGCTCAGAACGGCTATTTTAAATATATAGTTGTTGCGGTCGAGTAAATAAACAAAATTTGCCTAATAGGTATAAAAAAGAATTATTTGTAATTGTTATTTGTATTCCTGTTTAAAACTAACAATTTTTTTATTGGTTGTAACGATTACTGTCGACCTCTGTGGCATAGCAGTTAAACGTAACATAATGTGACTTAATTTTGCTGTCAATTGTAAATGTAATAATTTACAGGTATAACATATAATAACCATAACTACTTCATTAATAGACGTAACTAGATAAATGTGAATCTGTAACGATCATTTAATAATAACTACAAAGAAAAATATTTCTATTATTTTAGCACTTTCTTATTATTATTTTTAAATCTGATCACATTGGCAACATTAACTCTACGAATTTATAATTATTCTGGCAACATATTTTATCTCATGGATTGAATTTGGCTGTTTGTTTTCACCGATTATTTTAATTTATTTTAGGACTGCGGTTCTATTACTAAGGCATTATATTAAGAAATGACCGCTGAAAACGAACGTGAAATTTATCACAAGCTAGAAGCCATGAAAGAAATAAGGTACTTAATTTAATTTTTCAATGCCGTGATTTAAATTTGTTCGCTCGCACCTGTGGACTTGGATCAATAAACACTCGAAAGTCACGGATTCATACATTACAATTTTATTATTCAAAGATACAGTAACTGGTCGCTGAAGCTTATAAATATTATAATTTTATATATACAGTATGTTGTTAACAAGTTATGGCAATAAGACTTTATGGACGTAGGTGAAAACATTTAATATTTAGTTCGTTTTGATTTCGTATTAAAATTCGAAATATATTGCTTTAATATTTCTTATAATAATAATATATTTAAATTATAACTTTTGTATTATTTATATATAGAGTAAAATTTACTTTTGCAGCTTTTATTTTTATTTGTGACAAACTACTCGCCGCGGCTTCAAACGGGTGTACATGAATTATATATATCAACCTCCCTCTTATCCTTAACCTCCCTCCCTCTATCTATTAAAAAAACCGCTTCAAAATCCCTTGCGTAGTTTTGAAGATTTAAGCATACATAGGGACACAGCAACAGCAACTTTGTTTTATACTGTGTAATGATAGATAGACAAAAAAGTCAGTCACCGCTAAACTAATTGCTTTGTATTTGTAAGGCGAAGTTACCACTCACCAACAGATGTAGCAGTGTGTTTGCTATACCAATTATGACAAAATAAAAAATTCTATCACTTATAGAGTGGTAGATATGTTGGTATAGAAAAATAGTGTTGTCACAGAAATTAGTACCTATAATAATTACCCATACGAAGCCACGTATCATTAGAGTCTAGAAATAAATGTGCTTTGTTTGTGTTAATTAGAAATAAAACAATAACACTGGAGCGACTGAAGCGTAGCATCTTGAATGAGGTGCGCAGCGGGGATCAGGAGGGGCGGTGCCTGGCGCAGTACAAGCGGGAGATGGAGCTGCTGCAGCAGGAGAAGATGAGCCATGTGGAGGAACTGCGCCAAATACATGCAGACATCAATGCTGTTAGTATACTCAGGTTTTAAAAGAGTCTGCAACACTCACATGATGCTCCGCTGTTATAATAAAATAATTTTATTAATATCATAAATGCAAAAGTTTGTGAGTATGGATGTATGTTTGTTACTCTTTGAAAAAGTTCTGGACGGATTTTAATTTGAAGAGATATTATGTGAATGACGAATAATATAGTAATGCATATCCTAAGAGTGATGCTAATGAAGTTGTGCGGCTCAGCGTGCAATAAATTCATGGCAATTTGTCATGGTGGAGTAACTGACCTGACATTTTGCTCATTCTCCTGATCCTCCACTGGTGCCCCACCAGCGTGAACCATTAAAAAGAGACTCAATTGCTAACATCACCCCCTAGGGGGGAAGGGGCATTATTAGTAATGCGGATTGATTTTATTGCTAGCAATGTACCATGTCAGGTTGACCTCCACGCATTCCCCTATGGAAATTATTCTGATAAAATTCCATTGAATTTGTCAGGATGTGCTAACTAACCTGACCGTTTTCATCTTATCATCCTCCACTGGTGCCCCGCCAGTGTACACTGTTAGCGCCGGTGGGCGGGGGCGGATCGTGAATTTGTGGGGCCCTAGGGCTAAATCTACTTAGGGGCCCATCTAATTATATTACTCAACTAAAAAAATACCTACCAAAAACAAGTGACCAGAAATTCCCTGTTCCTTTCATTGATATGCGTTGATTGATTTCAGGGTTGCCGACCTTATCATAGGTTTTTTAACATTCTAGATATTTTTTTATATTCTAAACAGCTACTTGTCCCGGTTTCGCACGGGTGTACATGTATTATATATGTACATAAACCTTCCTCTCGAATCACTCTATCTATTTAAAAAAAACTGCTTCAAAATCCGTTGCGTAAAGATTTAAGCATACATAGGAACGGACAGACAGCGACAGCAACTTTGTTTTATACTGTGTAATGATATCGTTTTAATGGGGACTGGGGGACCTTTGTATACTCGGGGGCCTGAGCTGCAGCCCAAAAATCAATTAGGTAGATCCGCCCCTGCAGGTCATTCCATTATAAAATTTTATATAATAAATAATATAAAATTATAAAAAAAATAACATCATCCCCTCTCAACTCTCCCCCGCGCGTTCCCAGCAATAGTTGTTTGTATTGGTGGGCAGTAATAGCGTTAGGAATGTGTGTCGTATAAATAACAGGTGTACAGTGGGCCACTGTTTGTTTGTGTAGGCGGGCGGAGAGGCCGCCGCAACGCTATTGTTGGCGGAGTATCATTTGTTTGCTTTCATTATCAGTGATCTCTCCCACATTGGATTTAGGCTGGGATTCCATCATCCAATCTGCAGCACTGACTGTGTCACGATCTTTCATTTAGCTATTAAATGTACAAATCCTGCTAGATGTTTATCTATACATCTATACCTATAAATACAATTGGAGTGTCTGTTTGTTATATTGAAATAACCGTTTTTTACTACATGTAGTTGAATATGAATACGGTACATACACCAAACATTTTTTTACAATTTTTGTCTGTCTGTTCTGGCTAATCTCTGAAATGGCTAGACCAATTTCTTTTGGCAAGTAGCTGATGTAATAATGAGTAACTTAGGATACTTTTATTTTAGAAATATAAAGTCAAATTCCACGCGGACGAAGTCGCGGTTACAGCTATATCATATATATTGGATGTTAGCATCTTTTTTTGACTATTCTGATGCTTTTGACCTTTTATTAATATTAGATAGTTATGGAACCTTTGGTGTATTGTTATAATAAATTTATTATTATTTTGGGCAGTACCCGTAACTCTAATCTGTAACACAGAAGAAATTCGAGAATATAAAATGTATGAATAAATAATAATAATGGTATACGCTATACAGCGTAAATAACCAGCAATAGTTGAGTTAATGAGACCACAATAATAATGAAATTTAGGTTACTCCGCTACAAAACTCCAATTTTATATGTTAAGACCTATATTTGCCTTCTATATACATAAAGAAATTGTGTTATATTCTACAGATGGAGACTGTAATAAAGCAGACAGAGGAGAGCATGACGCGCAAGCTGTCGACCGCGTCGCGGCTGCACGAAGACTACCGGCCGCTGAAGGCGGAAGTGGACCTGCTGCGGCGGCAGTGCCTCGGGCTCGAGCGGCTCCCGGACCTGCACGAGGAGGAGGGCAGCCCCATCACTCCAGAGTTCGTATCTCTTATATGACTTATAGCGATCAAGGAAAGCAAATCCTTATTTATTTATAGAAATAGAAATAATCTTTATTCAAATAAACTCATTACAAGCACTTTTGAATAGTCATATTTTGATTCTACCACTCATTCGGAATGCAGATTCATCACAAGAAGAATGAGCAAGAAACTTGTGTGTTGCTCTTTTTAATAGATGTTTTTTTTTTATATATTTATAGAACTAGCTGCAACCGCGACTTCCGCGTGGAATTTTAACTTTATTTTTCTAAAATAAAAGTATCTAAGTTATTCCTTGTTATATCAGCTACCTGCCAAAAAAAGTCCCGAGAAAATCGGTCCAGCCATTTCAGAGATTAGCCGAAACAAACAGACAGAAGGACAAAAATTAAAAAAAATGTTATTTTGGTGGATATATTATTTATATTCATATGCATGTAGTAAAAAACGGTTCACTGCAATTTTATTTATGTGTATAGATAAATGCCAAAGTAATTCTGTCTGTCTGGCTTTCATGCCAAAACTACTGAACTGATTTAAGTTAAATTTGGTACACAGATAGTCTAGACCCAGAGAAAGCCCATAGATTGCATAGTATAGTAATTTTTAAAGATAAAAGCATGAAACTTATGTTTAAGCTGATGATTAAATATAAATAAATGTGTAATTCAAAGTTTCTTTAAATTTTACCCTTAAGGGGGTGAAATAAATAGGTGTAAAAAGTTTGTATGGAAAATCGTCATTTTTTAAGCTAGTACGATGAAAGTTTAAGCATCCATAAGCAATAAGATCATCAGTCCACATTATTAACAATCCGCCTGCACTAACGGTTTACGCTGGCGGGGCACCAGTGGAGGATCATAAGATAAGCATTAGATCAGGTCACTCGGCCCATCGTGACAATTGACATTCACCAAGAACCTCGTGGAGGTCAACCTGCCATGGTACATTGCTAGCAATAAGATCATCAGTCCACATTAGTAACAGTCCGGTGCGTCGGTTGGTGGTTGCAGGCGGTTCCCTGCGCTGTCGTCGCGGGGCGGGGCGGGGGGCGGCGCGGCGGGGGGTGCGGGGGGTGGCGTGGGGGGTGCGGGGGCGGCGGGGGGCGGGGGCCCGTTCCTGGCGCCGGCCCCGCGCAAGCCGCCGCCGCCGCCGCCCGCGTTCAGGTCTGCTCTCGAACAAGATTTCATTACCGTCTCGCTGAGGTTCGATTTTGTTTGCTTTTATTTTTTTTCCATACCCCTCCCCCTCATCTCCTTCCGTCCTCGACCTGCGTGCAGAAAGACATTTAGTGAGTGCAAGCATTATTACCACAGAGTTCTATATGTATACAGAGTGTAAGCTTCAGCCAGTGCCCAATCAGGAATGGTATGGAAAATTTACATTAAAATAATTATATCATTGATGATGTTAATATCAATTAATGATTAATAGAAGCTTATCACTTTGCTATTCAAAAATGTTTCATTATAAAAGATTTTTTTTTGTACGACAGAGGTGGCAAATCTATAATGAAATTAATATTTTACTCAGTTAAAGACAGCCACTAGGTAGATTATTTCGTTTTGATAAAAATACAAAAGCATATACTAGATATAACTATATTTTTTCTAATTTCATTAATTGTGGTTATTTGAAAATAGTGAGAACTGAGTTTCTTATCAGTTTTTCACAGCTCGAAAACACTCCTATCTGTCGGTAGATTTCACATATCTTTTACGCTTAACTTGTAATAATAAAGTTATAAACTTGGCATGAAACAAAATAATGACGCACCAAAATGATCAATCACTGTGCCGTAGAGTAAAATACTCATGCATGTGCATTGGCTGAAAAACTTTCATTCTGTATATTGTAATGTAATACTCAGTGGCAGCCTCGGGTGTGAGGGGGGAGGGGGGGCAACTGGGGCCCGATGGGGCGATGGGGAGTCCTCGAACTTGGCAGATGAATACAGAACTCGTCTTTGACAACTTGACCGTTGAGACGTCAAGTAAATTGTAATATGTAAAAAATGTTGGCCGGAGGGGGACAAGGAGGGCAGGGGGTACCCTAGGGGGTGCCGACCCCCATTGCTTAATTTTTGCCCCGCCTTGAAAAATGAAGATCCAGGGCTTCTCAGTAGTGTTATTGTGATCTCTTTCTGCACACGTCTGTATATTTTGTTTTGAATACTTAATCCTTTATAATTTCTTAATTTCCTTTGCCTTAAATATTTTTTTAATATACAAAAGTGTTTTAAATATATTGTAAATACTGCACTAAGGAATTGGTACCTGTTTGTAGTGATTATTATGTCATGTTTATTTTATACATAATAGATTTAAGTTAGTTCTATTTGTAACAACAACGGCTAGTGAGGTAAGATGGATGTTTGTTAGTCATTCACGGAAATATTACTCAACAGATTCGAATGAAATTTGGTACACGTATAGATCATATATTCTAGATTATTTCTGGATCTATACACTGAACTGGACGGTAGGGAAAAATTATTATATATTTAATTTTACGTTCATAAGCGGCTAAAATAGGACCCTCCCGCGTATACTTACATTGTGGAATGAACTTCCTGCCGAGGTTTTCTCACAAGACTCAAGATCAGATGGGCATTTACCATAAGATCGGCCGTATGCTTGCTTGCCAACATAGTAATATAAAAAAATAAAACATATACATGAATAAATTATTTTTTTAATTTGAATTAACAGATTTAAACATAATACATTTGTGATGTGTGTACATGTATTATACTACAGAGTAGTTGCCTGTAGAAAATAAGTAGGCGTCATTATTTTTTAATGTAACTAAAATCAGAAACATCTATCTAGAATATATCAGTGCAAATGTGTCAAGGAATTTCAATGATTTTCACTCAATTCTCCGGAATATACCATTATTAGGCTACACACTGGACTGACAAGAAAACTAGATTAAAAAATATTTTAATATTACTTAAGACATATTGTTCAATAATTAATTCTATATAACAATAATAGCTATTTTTAAACATAACAGTAGGGCTGATACACTTTCAGATAAATAAAATTATATTCGAATGGAACAAATTGACTTAAATTAAAAATTATTTATTTATTGTTGTTAATTGATAATGGAAGAGATATAACAATGTATAAAGAAAAAAAATAAAAGCAAGATTTCATACTTGTTTTTGGTTGTATCCTAATACAACAAAAAATAAATGTACAACCCTTGTTTGTAAACATTCGTAATGACAATTTTGCGTCCCTAAATCTGTATAGTCTAGAAGTATAAGCATTATTTATTATCATTATACAGTATAAAATAAAGTCGCTGTCGCTGTCTGTCCCTATGTATGCTTAAATTTTTGAAACTATGCAAAGGATTTTGAAGCGGTTTTTTTAAATAGACAGAGTGATTCTATAAGAAGGTTTATGTATATAATACATGTACACCCGTGCGAAGCCGGGTCGTGTAGCTAGTATAATATAATATTAGTTAATAATGTAAACACTATATATTTTTTTTTACCGCTCATTTGGAATGCATATTCAAACTGTAACATCGTATATGTTTACATTTTGTATATTAATGAAGACAAATTGCCAGTTGTCTGTAGATGTGTAGTTGTGTGTTTGTATGCGCCGCAGACAGCAGCCGCCGCCCATGAAGTCGTGCCTGTCGTGTCACCAGCAGATCCACAGGAACGCGCCCATCTGCCCGCTCTGCAAGGCCAAGAGCCGCTCCAGGAACCCCAAGAAACCCAAGAAGAAATAGTCACCTCCACCCCACACGACCACACCGGACCGGATCGGACCGGAAGTCCACCGCGCGGTCCAGTATTCATATATCACTGTACTCTAAAAACTGTATTAAACAGTCACGTGTCACGACTTGTGTGGGAAGGACAGTCTACTCCTAAAACCAATTCCGATCTATCGATATTTGATTTTTTTCGCAAATATTTGTTTGTTCAATGATCCAGCATTTTTTTTTTTTGATAATGGAATGGTGCACCCGCCAGCGTAAACCGTTAGCGCAGGCGGGGCACCAGTGGAGGATGATAAGATGAGCATGAGGTCAGGTCAGTTAGCCCATCGTGTGGAGTAACCTTCACGCAGTTCTAGTCACTCCATTACTAGCCATGTACAACTGACGTGGTACCTGGCTAGTAGTGGAGTGACTAGTCCACATTACTAACCCCCCTGAATTATGTTATCCAGGTCCGTGTAAGCTTAGTCCGCCACTGGTCGTGTTATGGGTTCAAACCTGTACCACTATTGAATGTACGGCCAAGGGGCGATTGCGTGCCAAACTATAATTAAGACAAAAGTTAGCAATCTTCATAGGGATAACGAGCCATTGTCCCTTAAACACTTACACAACTTACACTTACTTGCAATGGGGTCATCAGTTCACATTACTAACAATCCCTTTTGCCTCCCAGTTCAATATATTAGAGCCCTTTATTCAGAGTTTTTTTGCTATTCGTACTATATCTACAAGTAGTTCTTGATTATCTGCTTGCTGAGGAATGGCCTCCTCTAATCTTTTCCACTCTGCTCTGTCTTGGGTGATTCTGGTCCATATCTTCCCTGCTGTTCTAACGATTTCATCCTCCCATCTTCTATTTGGTCGTCCTCGTCTTGGGTACCAAGTAATGGAACTAGTAATCCCCATTGCTAGCAATATACCATGTAAGGTCAACCTCCACGAGGTTCCTCCTGGAAAGCATCGTGATAAATTCCTAGTGAATTTGTCACGATGGGCTAGCTGATCGGACCTCATTCATCTTATCCTGCACCGGTGCCCCGCCAGCGTATACCCTTAACGCAGACAGGTGCACCATTCCATTATCATCCATAAAAAATATATATTAGTATCGATTGAAAATAAGGGTACAAAATTGGATTGAAGTAAAATGGATATTGGAATTAGACTCAGGAGTAGACTGGATGTTGGTGAGTCATTTTATTGACATAGTGTCGATCCAGGTTTATAAACATATATGTATAAAGAGATAATATTATTTATTGAAGGCCATCTTTATATCTAACAATAAGTTCTGATATATTTAATGGAATTAGGTTTTATTTTGCGGAAGTACATTTCACTACTCGATGGATTTTTATTATTTTGTTTAATTCCGCTATAATTAGCATCTGTGAGACCACAAATATTCGGTGTGGAAACTTGACTACCGTTACGACCTTCTCTAATGGCGATCAAATCCCGACCGTTATTGAGTCTACACCCATATCGCGACACGTGTTTCGCCTCTGAACGAGGCATCATCGGGCGTTGAGTAGAGTTGCCTGAACTCTCGGACAGCTCGGAACTTCAGAGGTGTGCCCGAACGCCCGGTCGCCGATGAGTCAACACTAGACTTCCGAGTCGGAAGCTTAGTGTTGACTCATCGGCGATCAAACTGCGACTGAACCGATGAGTCAACACTAGGCTTCCATAGGTCGTAAGGAGACAGGTTTCCACACAGAATATTTGTGGTCTCACACATGCTAACTGCAGCGGAATTACAATAAATAATCTTATATATAAAATTCTCGTGTCACAGTTTTCGTTCCCATACTCCTCCGAAACGGCTTGACCGATTCTCATGAAATTTTGTGAGCGTATTGAGTAGGAATGCCAACATCTATTTTTCATCCCCCTAAATGTTAGGGGTAGTCACACCTAAATTTTTATTTTTTAGTATTTTAGACAAAATTTTTAGTTTCTAGTTTTTTATGATAATACATACAATCCTAAATTTTCACCCTTCTATCATCAACCCCTATTTTTTTATAGCGTTACTAATTTATATGGCAAAACAATGTTTGCCGGGACAGCTAGTATATATATATATAAATCCATCAAGTAGTGATAAGTACTGACTTTAATAGACTTACAATTAGGTTACATATCTGTACTATAAAAATATAGAACGGATTTTGTTTTCAATCAAACAAATTACGGAACTGTAGCATAAATTTGAGAAATTGTTTCGTTGTTTTAAATTTTCATTATTCCATAGGCAGTATATTGTAGTCTGCGAGCCAGACACTTTTTTCGTCAATTGTTTTTAATAGCTTACACGTATGTCCACGTTTCAACATGATGTCCACATGGAATTTATCTTTTTTTATATTAAAATAAATACAGTTTCTCAAATATAAGTGGCCTAAGCTACTTCTTATAACATTAGCTACTATATACGAGTTAAAGTACCGTCAAAATAGGTCCAGCCGTTTCAGAGATTAACAATAACATACAGACAGACAAAAATGTTAAAATATTTTTTGTTGTAAGTTCCGTATATACTGTCATATGGATTTAGTGTAGCTGTAAATTTGTAAATGACATACAGATTTCAAATTTATTTATTTGTATATATGTAAACATTCCTCACGTACTTACGCAAATATAAATTGCAGATGAAAAGACGGTCTGTAGCTTATTGTTTCACAATCACAAATACAGTGACATTATACTTGTACTTAATTAATTGTAAAGTTAATTTATATTGCATTTATATTAACTGGGAATGTAATTTATGTTAAATGCCGGCAGTAAGAACGTTTGTATCTATGTGTATCTGTACACAGGAACTTGAGTTCATTGAATCAGTCATATTGTATATTTTGTAAATAACATAGATTAAGAATGTAGTTTTAAGTTATAATCAGGGGCGGACTGAGGGCTATTCAACCTGGGGCCTATATTTAAAACTACCTTTGAAACGACAAGTACCGCCTGTGAATGTTGTCTGCATTGGATAAATTACACAAAATCTTTCTTCATTGATGCCTTTTTGTCATAACCCGATTTTCATCTTCCCCCACTCACCCTAATGACTAAAAACTAAGGCCAGAATTGTTTTTTTTTTGTTAGAGGATGATAATGGAATGGTGCACCTGCCTGCGCTAACGGTATACACTGGCGGGGCACCAGTGGAGGATGATAGGATGGGCATGAGGTCCGGTCATTTAGCCCATCGTGACAAATTCACCAAGAATTTATTTATTTCCAGGGGGAAGCGCGGAAGTCAACCTGACTTTGTACATGTATAGTATATTATGTTACCCAGGGCTGTGTAAGCTTAGTCCGCCACTGGTTGTGTTGTGGGTTCAAACCTGTACCAGTATTGAATGTACGGCCAAGGGGCCATTGCGTGCCAAACTATAATTAAGACAAAAGTTAGCAATCTTGATAGGTGCAATAACGTGTTACTGTTCCTTAAATAAAGACACAATAGGCGCTGGCAGTCCCCTTTGTAGGGGGTTGCTTTGAAGCCGAGGAAACGGACGCTCACGTAATCCTGGAGCGCGTAGCAGTGGCCACACGAAAACGAAAACGGTGAGAACGGAACTATGAAGATGAGGCTTCGGGGAGTGGAACATAACCACACAACGATCTAACGGTGATCTATCCATGTTGAAGAACATATGAAGATACCGGGACGGTGAGGTCGCTCCGTGCAGTCTGTGAAGATACCAGGAGGGAGGAGTGGAGTGCAGTGGCCACACAAACAAATCCTCGAAACGGCGAGGTCGCTTATTGAACCTGTGAAGATTGGCTTCAACTTGCAGTGGCCACACAACAAATCCTCGGGAACGGTGATGTCTGGCCACACAAACAAATCCAGGTCGCTCCGTGAAGCCTGTGAAGATACCAGGAGGGAAGACACCAGTGGCCACACAAACAAAGAACTTCCGTGAAGCCTGTGAAGATACCAGGAGGCTTCTAGGAGTGGAGTACTTGCAGTGGCCACACAAACAAATGCTCGGAACGGTGAGGTTGCTCCGTGAAGCCTGTGAAGACACCAGGAAGCTTCTAGAAGTGGAGTGCTTACAGTGGCCACACAAACAAATGCTCGGAACGGTGAGGTCGCTCCGTGAAGCCTGTGAAGACACCAGGAAGCTTCTAGGATTGGAGTGCTTGCAGTGGCCACACAAACAAATCCTTGGAACGGCGAGATCGCTCCGTGAAGCCTGTGAAGGCACCAGCAGCCTTCTGGGAAGAGCTTGGCTAGCCACTTTGCAGCCTCGGCTGCATGTACAACGGCCCTGATCGGAAGCTGATAGCGGAGTATGGAGTTCATATTTCAGAAGTTACCAATCAGAATGTGTTATAGGAACATTTGAACAAAGTCGTTTGAGTACCTCTGCCTAAACGTACCACTAGTAATTTTAAAGGTTGTGTCCCAATTAGGTGTAAGATGTATGGGCAATGTCTCAGAATCGTATAAGAGTTACAAACTTAATTGTAAACTTACTTAACTTATTCAACTGTATTTTTATTTGTATAACCCCATAACTTATTTCTACTTATACAAATTTTGATGATACTTTTTTTATTTAAATGTCGGTGCTCTTCAAATTTTATTTAGGGGCCGTCCAAGTATTACGTAAGCAGATTTATTATAATTATTTACCCCCTCGTCAGCCTTGTCAGCAAAAATAAGCAAAGCTCGTTCCCCTATGCTTACTTAAACATTTTTCGATTAATGTATTGTTTTTTTAGCACAGACAATGTGAGGGTTGCCATTCGTGTAAAAAAGTAAATGACTACCGATGACATAATCACCATCTAGACTCCCCTACCCCCCATGTCATCCAAAATAAGCAAAGCAAAGAAATAGTGGTTACGTAATACTTGAACACTCTTTCCCGAGGAGAAAAAAACCATCGCTCCTAAGAATATCCTTCAATTCTTGTACCTGACGGGTCTGGGTAGCGAACTTTGAAAAAGGGCGAGCACAATAGATCTATGTAGGTCGCAGTGCTACAGGTGCTGCAAACAACTGGCAATAGCCCAAACAACCCAATAAAAAAAATACTTGAACGGCCCTTTATCTCCTGTGTTACCTTCACATAGTTTAAAACAATGTCGCCACTGTCTGCTCACTATATTTTTTAATATATGCAACGGATTTTAAATTAGCAATAGAGTGATTCAAGAGGAAGGTTTATAGGTAAATACATGTGTGTTCAAAGATTAGTAACGCATCTGTGCGTAACCGGGACGAGTGGCTTGTATGTATATAGTTACAATATTATTTATATCCGTTGTCTAGTACCCATAACACAAGTGCTTAGGTTGAGACTAGATGGCGCTGTGCTTTGTTCTGGGTTATTGTTTAATGATATTTGTATGATCCGATTCTACTCTGTATACCAAGTTCAGGATGCTTAAATTTCTCCGACAACTCTTATCACTATGTATGTGTTCAAGTTGTATAGAATTATGTATAAATGCAATTATCATAATTAAACTAATATTGCTATGAGGGATGTCTTGATCTTTTGTTTGTAATGAAAATTACAAGATTCTTGATCGTTTTAAATGAGAATTATCAAATAAATAACACATCTCAGCAGTTCATCCCCGTAGGACGAGTTGCAACTGCTTCAGACACCTTTATATGTGATTTAAGGAATCTTTCACTCATACAAAGTTACAACGTCAGCGAGAAACACAAAATTTTTGATCGTTTCAAATGAGAATTATTATCAAATGCATAACAGCAGTTCAGCTAGGGCTACTTACAGTTGCTGTAGAGACCTTTACAAGTGATTTAAGGAGTTCTGTCACACATACAAAGTTACACGAGTTTTACGCGGGCAAACCCGCCGGATATAATGTGATGATTTTAAAATTACATTCTGTCCCTATATAGACAATGCTATGGGAATCTCATGCTCCATGCATTAACTTTTTTTTTAAGATATATAAGAATCTTTATCTGTTATTGTTGGCAACATTGAAAGATTAACAAGTAATTACAAAAATAAGAAAAAAAAATACAAAGTTGGCAACAGTAACTACCTCAGCCGTTGCTAATATAACCAATACAATATTGAAACCTTCAAGAAAATATCTTATTCCTTCTTAAAAGGCTGACAACGCACTTGCAATTCCTCTGGTGTTGCGGGTGCTCAAGGGCGGTAATCACTTACCATCAGCGTCGCCCGGCGTTGCTTGTAAGGGTATATTTTCATTGGTCGATATATATTATGCTATATAACAAAATATCCACCTTTATCAGTCTAGAAAACTCTATATTTAAAATAGCCTATGTTCTTCGACCCAAATACAGCATACGAACAATTTATTTATTATTTTTTAATAATTTACTATAATTATTATGCTATAACGCTTGCTTTTGCCCAATGAAAATGCGCCCATAGGTGGGAAGGTACTCGGTCTCGTGAGTTAGTTTTGCGGAGATGAGTTATATTATGAGTATACTGTGTACATAGTGAGTGAGTGCTGGGAGCGTCTGTATGTATGTACTTATCGTGTGAATAGTTTTGTTTATACATTATAAACACTCGTGTCAAATCGTTGTTTTATTTTATAACCCTTTTTACAAATAGACATTTTGTTGTTATCATTGAGAATAGAATAGAGATTATTTAAAGGAATTAGGTGCTATAATGCAGAAGTTAATTTCACTACTTTGTGGATTTGTATTATTTTGTTTAATTCCGCTACAATTAGCATGTGTGAGACCACAAATATTCAGTGTGGAATCTTGATTACTGTTACGATCTCTATTAGTGATCAAATTCGGACCGTTATTGAGTCTATACCCATAATGGCATTATCGCGTTGAATAGAGTTGGGGTACAGTTTGGAAGCCTAGCGTTGACTCATCGGCGATCAAACCACGATTGAACCGAGTCAACACAAGGCTTCCGTAGGTGGTAACGGTTTCCGCACTGAATATTTGTAGTCTCACACATGCTAAGTGTAGCGGAATTAAACAAAATAATATAAATACATCAAGTAGAATAGAAAATTCTTTATTTGAATAAACTTAATTTAAGCACTTGAATACTTATTTTTTTAATCTACCGCTCATTCGGAAAGTTATCACAAAATGAACGAGCGAAAACTTGTAAACGAGAAATTATAATTATAATGTTCAACACATAAATAATATAGAAACTGTAGACTAACTGTTTTAAATAGGTTTGTTATCAAATGCGTAACAAAGTTCACCAGTTCAACCTACTTTGAGGAGATACAGCTGGCTTTAGACTCACGAGTGGTAAGTATAAAAGTAACGCGTAATAAGTGAAGCAGGTCAACAAACTGATGACAGTGCGACCCCGTGGTCGCTGCCGCCGATTATGAACGTAAGGTAAGGTGACCAACTATTTTTTGTTCAAGAGTACACTTTGCAAAGTTTCATAGGTGAAAAATAAAAAACGATAATCTTTATTTTTTTTTAAAAACATATTTTTCTTCGGAGTGAATTTTTTTGCTAAAGGAGGATGTTCGTCTAATAATGTAGCCATATCCGAAAAACTTTTTGCATATTAAATTTGATTGTTAGGACGGCAGATAATGTTTTTACACAAAGTTGCTACTTCTGAGTGCTCCTGTAATCATTACCTAGTGAAAATAGTGCCTGGACAACAACATAAGGAAATTTCTATTGAAACTCTTAAATTTGTCATGTGGGATATGGTCTACTCTAAAATGCCGAAGGATTTCTATTTCTACCCATCTTTTGTGAAGTTCTATTTTCTTATCGTTACATTTCTCCAATTTTTAAATACAAATGAGTATAAAATTATACTAATTAGTACTTTCAGAGTACAGGATTTGTAAAGAGTACGGTGTGGTGGATAATTATAGTTATATAAAATATAATATAATAATCGGAAGATTGCAGGTTCGTGTCCTGTCACTGTGCCAGTTTATGTGGTGGATAATATTTTATGTATTATGTTTGTATGTATGTACAGAAGCTGTTGCATCTACTCGATAACTATATAAAATAAATCGATGCAAAACAGAGTAAAATAAAATCGTATATTTTCGTATGACAAATTTAACAACTTAAATTTATGTACATTCTTTTTACTATGAACTCCACAACATACGGTTTGCACATACATACATAGTACAAGACTCAGTAAATGAGTATAGTTGGCCACAGGGGTAGATCGTGAATTTGTGGGCCCCTGGCCTATATCTACTTAGGGGCCTACTTAACTATATTACTCAACTAAAAAAATATACCCACAAAAACAAGCGATCAGAAATTTCCCGTTCCTTTCGTTAGACGCGCACTTGCATGGGTTGATTGATCTCAGGGTTGCCAAACTTATGATAGGCTTTTTAATGCTCTAGATATTATTTTATATTCCAAATATCGTTCCAATGCGGACCGGGGATCCTGGGCCAACCCACAAAGCCCTTAGTTAGATCCCCCCCTGGTTGGTCACGTTAACGTAAGATCGTAGGCAATAAGTAGCTCGCAATGATGCTGGACACTCGAACCATTGCTACACGTCTGCGGACTCATCCCACACTGTCATCACGTGCTCAGATAAAATAAACAATAATAACTATAGAAACGAAATACATTACTTAATCATAGTCTTAATGTAAATATATATAACTCAAAGGTGACTGACTGACATAGTGATCTATCAACGCACAGCCCAAACCACTGGACGGATCGGACTGAAATTTGGCATAATAAATAAATATTTTTATCATATTATACTACCATTTTTTACATTCTATTTTGTCTCTAATAAATTCGTGCTAGTTGGTAGTTTGTATTTACACATTTCAACTTAAAAACGTAAAATTACAACTTTATTTGAAAGAACAACACGCAAATTTGTCGTTCTACTTGTGATGCGACGCTTTCCGAATGAGCAGTCGATACTATGATTATTCAATAGTGTTTAAATTAAATTAATTTGAATAAAGGATTTTGTATTTTTATAGTATACTAGCTGTACACGCTGTATTCGCATGGAATTTAGCTTTATTTTCTAAAATAAAAGTAGCCTAAGTTACTTGTTATTACATCAGCTACTTGTTAATAAATGCCCCATCAAAATCGGCCCAGCCAATTCAGAGATTAGCCGGAACAAACAGACAGACAAAAATTGTAAACAATGTTACTCTGGTGTATGTACCGTATTTATATTCATATGCATGTAGTAAAAAAACGGTTATTTCAATATTACAAACAGAAACTCCAATTTTATTTGTATGTATAGATAGGAAGGATGCAAAGGAAATAAAAACGAAAAATATAAAAATATTCTTTATTTTCTTAAGCTTACAATACACTAATTATCTAAGCATATCACACGTTGCAAAGTTACAAAACAATATACATTTGTCTTTTTCAGATCACAAAAGCAAATAGTAAATTAAATTATTACAATCATAGTATAAAAAAGATCTACCACAGACGCTGAACGAGAATTATTTAGTGGCGAAAATATTCAATGTCTGACAGCAAATATAACAATTACGAAGTGATGCTCTAATATTCATAATGTAATCTAATCTAACATATATATATTCTAATTTTGCTATTACTAAACCAGCCGTTATATTGTTATTACATATGAACACAGCGACATGTATGCGCAAAATGGCGGGAAGTAATCAGAAATAACAGGAATGTCAACAAATATCGTATTTATAACCCAAGCGATAAATACTGTTATTGAGTTAAACAGAATATTATGAAACGAAAGTATAGTAAAATATATAACATGTATGTAACATGATAGTAGATAGTGAAAGACAGACATTCGTTTTATTTTAATATATATAAAAATATACAAATCTTATAACTAATGTTCACGTATAACTTAAATTATTAACAATATCAAATTGTATTTGTTAATCAAATTCGAGTTGGCAAATTTTCTAACGTTACCTGTTTTAGTTAAATTACCACAATATCCTATCACATAGCTATGTCTTTTGCTGAGACGAATCAAAAATGGGCTACATAATTAATAAATCATGTAAAAAAAGCTAATGAACTGTTTTGTCCTATTTTCTCACGCCTTTTTTTTAATTAAATAGTAGAGACAAAACACTAATATTTATGCAGTCGTGAACCACCAACAGGTATAAAAAAATGAATACAGTATAGTAGTAGAATAGTAGTACTGCACTACTGCTGTAGCTGGCAACATTATTTGAAAATTTGACGTTTACACCTGTCAAATTAGTCTGCGAGAGAAAAAAAACAAAGTGTGTTAAAAAAGAGACTATAAAGGGTAGGAGTTTACACGAGGGGGTAGGAGGCGGAAGAGGCGATGCCGCAGTGGTTGTTGCGGTTGCGCGCCATCTTGATGTAGCCAAGCTCGCCCCACGTGCGGCCCCATGAGTTCTTCACAAGCCAGTAGTCTCCGCCAGTCTCGTCTGTGCCGTATCCCACCACCAGCACCTGCCATGAACAGTCACCACCACAGTTAATGACGCGATATAAAAATATAACAATACATTTTATGTTTAACAGTTATCGCTACATAAATGTTACACATCCACCTTATGAATGTTATGGGCCCAGTGTCTCCTCAGAATATCATTTGACTATTTGGCTCGTGCAAAAGAAAATACTTATTTCACGTAATATACGAATATAATATAAAAATTGTCTTAACACAATCATGTTGCTGGAGGACGGTTACTTGTGTCTTTCCAAAACGTCTTTTGTTAAGAACTCTTTGGCTTGTGCAGAAGAAAAGAGTTATTTCACGCAATCACTGCATAGTATAAAACAAAGTCGCTGTCGCTGTCTGTCCGTCCCTATATATGCTTAAATCTTTAAAACTACGCAACGGATTTTGTAGCGGTTTTTTAAGAGAATCACTCTGATTCAAGAGGTAGATTTATATGTATAATACATGTACACCCGGGCGAAGCCGGGGCGAGTAGCTAATATACGAATATAATATAAAAAAAATCGTGTTAACACAATCAGCCAGGTGTCCTTGCCCAGAATGTCTTTCCAAAATGTCTTTTGTTAAGAACTCTTTGGCTTGTGTAAAAGAATACTACTCGTATTCTTCTCTTCTATAGTCGCAACAACCGACATTTAACTCCATTACAATCAATATTTATATGCTTGTTATTTTATGTTGTGTAGGTATGTTATATGTATTTAAAAAAATTAATATATGTACTGATGAAAAATGATATATGATACTATGTGCTCAGTCAATAAATATATACCCATAATATAAGCTCTGCTTAGCTTGTGACTAGATGCACTGTTAATTATCCTGGATTATTATTTACACCTGCAGTAACTACACCTAATATTTCATTACGTTTTCGTAATGAAACTAGTGAGTGGTAGTGTAGTAAGCGAGAGAGAGAAAAAGGGTGATGGCGTTACCCCGTGGTAGAGGTTCTTCAAAGAGCAGTTGCCGTCGTTGTAGAAACCGGTAGAATAGAAGAACTTTTAAGTGTTAATGAGAGGTGTCAGTGATTGTAGTGTAGTGAGCGAGAGAGAGAGAGAATGAAAGAGAGAGTGATGGCTTTACCGCATGGTCGATAGTTGTCGTCGTAGTAGACGCCGGTGGAGAGAGAGAGAGAGAGAGAGAGAGAGCCAGAGAGAGAGAGAGTGAAAAAGAGAGTGATGGTTTTACCCCGTGGTCGAGGTTCTCCGAGGAGCAGTTGTCGTCGTAGTAGACGCCGGTGGAGTAGAACTGGAAGCTCTTAAGTGTTAATGAGAGGTGTCAGTGATAGTGTAGTGTGTAGCGAGAGAGAGAGAGAGAGAGAGAGAGAGAGAGAAAGAGAGAGTGATGGCTTTACCCCATGGTCGAGGTTCTCCGAGGAGCAGTTGTCGTCGTAGTAGACGCCGGTGGAGTAGAACTGGAAGCTCTCCTGGGAGGCGTCGATGGCGACTGAGACGGGGCCCACGGTGGCCACCGCCTCCATCAGCTTCTGCTCGTCGCCCTGCGGCACGTCCACGAAGCCGACGTCCTCCGCGCCGTTGTTCTTCGGGTTGTACCTGCACCGCACACAAACAAATTATAATACTAGGGAACATGGACATAATAACACTATTGCTAGCAATATACCATTTCAGGGGGAAGAGAACTATCAGTAATGTGGACTAATGAACACATTGCTACGGTTCGCGCCATTTTATTACACTAATAATGAGTGCGTAGCGATTTCTATGTTGATTATCGCATGCCTCTTACTTGTTATACTGTAATTATTATATAAAAAAACATCTATTCAAAAGATCAACACACAAGTTTCTTGCTCATTCTTCTTGTGATGAATCTGCATTCGGAATGAGTGGTAGAATCAAAATATGACTATTCAAAAGTGCTTGTAATGAGTTTATTTTAATAAAGATTATTTCTATTTCTATTTTATTAAATCCTTAGACTTTGAGTGGCATGTTACTTCCATTTTCGTATAATAAATTACTTGAAAGTTGTCTTGCTGTCCAGCATAGGCCTCCCCTAGAGTTCGCCATTGAATGCGATTCTGTGCTACTCTTTTCCATGTATGTCCCGCTATATATTTAATATCGTATCGTATCGTATTTTTTTAATATAATGTCTTCCCATATTCTAGACCTAATACCCAGTTTTTTCGTTTTACGTCTGACAAAGCTTTAAGTCCAACAGACAATTGCATTACTGTAGTCCGATCAATGTTGCATTTTAGTTTGAACTAGCTTTTGCCCGCGGCTTCGCTCGCGTTAATTTATCCCCTTAGGGGTGGAATTTATCAAAATCCTTTACTAGGGGATGGCTACGTCATAGTAGCTTTATGCATGCGAAGTCTCAGCCCGATCGGTTTAAAATTGACAAAGTTTCATTCAAACTTTCATCCCCTTGGGGGTAGAATTAATCAAAATCTTTTCTTAGCGGATGCCTACGTCATAACATCTACCTGCTGCATGCCAAATTTCAGCCCGATCCGTCCAGTGGTTTGGGCTGTGCGTTGATAGATCACTATGTCAGTCACCTTTGAGTTATATATATTTAGATATCACACAATTTTTGAGATTACAGAGTTATTGAAAACTTTTTAGATAGCTAATATTGTATACAAACATATCACATGGATGTACCTTATTATATTATAAAGCTTACAAGTTTGTTTGTTTATTTGAACGCGCTAATCTCAGGAACTACTGGTTCGAATTGAAAAATTCTTTCCGTGTTGGATAGTCCATTTGTCGAGGAAGGCTTTAAGCTATATAACATTACGCTACGACCAATAGGAGCGGAGCTGTAATGATAAATATTGCTAAAGGTGGGGAAAGGAAACGCAGATGAAGTTATATATGGTGTGGTGTGTACCAACCGGCACTTGTCATCGATGGCCTCATAGGGGTAGGTCTTCTCGGTGTCGATGCCGCCGTTGTCCTTGATGTACTTGAAGGCGTTGTCCATGAGGCCGCCGTTGCAGCCGTTGTTGCCGTACGCTGAGGAGCAGTCGATCAGGTTCTGTTCCGATAGCGACACCAGGTAACCTGTCTGACGGTAGTGCTGACCCTCTAGCGCGCCAGTCTGTTGGATGATACAATATGGAATAGTTATTTTAAACTTTCGTGTTTAATATTATTTAAATTATTAACCGGGTCTTAACACGAATAATTTTATGGCAAATAAAGGTATTTACCTATCTCGACGTTTCGAGGTATAGATAGTTTCAATTATACGTTTTAATAATAATAATAATAATAATTTATTTATTTGCCTGCTACATGGTAATTTTGATCTTACAATAGAATATAAGTACACGACATGCCGCACCCCGTAGAGGTATGCAAATATTGAAAATGATATCATAATTACAATATGTCATTAAATTTCATTAAAACATTATAATAGAACATTATAATTAAACATTTCGTTCAGTAACTATAAATCGTTAAGTATCCATAATGACTATTTTGTTTTACGCATCACAGTGAAGGTTGAAAATAATGTATATTTGTATACTTTATTTGTATGAAAAAGTATAAAGTATAATTACGAAAAATTAAATAGGATACGTCATTGCGAGAGTGTTTTAAGGAATCAAATATCCTCACCGTTGCTTCTCAATACATTTATGAAAATATCATCTATGCCAGAAGGTATATAGACAGTTTCAAAAGAGTTAGTGATTGCACTAATAAAAGCTGACGTAACAATAACAAACTGATTTTAACTAAATGTCGTTTGGCTAAAGTTAGTAATTCGTTTTATGGCAATTGCGTAAGGTTTTACAATAAAATACCAGAGTCTGTTATAAATCTGCCAGAAAAAAGATTTAAATGTCACATAAAACAGTTCCTTTGCAAAAAAGCTTACTATAAAATTGAAGAATTCGTTAACTATAATAATGTTTTTATAGAAAAACTTTAAATCCATAGCACTGACAATATTATCTGATTACATTAATAATGAGTGCGTAGCGACTTCTATGTTGATTATCGCATGCCTCTTACTTGTTATACTGTAATTATTTATATAAAAGAAACATCTATTAAAAAGAGCAACACACAAGTTTCTTGCTCATTCTTCTTGTGATGAATCTGCATTCCGAATGAGTGGTAGAATCAAAATATGACTATTCAAAAGTGCTTGTAATGAGTTTATTTAAAAAAAATTTAAAGATTATTTCTATTTCTATTATAAAGTATGGTTGCCAACCCTGGTACTCTACCAGTCTGAATTAACTATGAATTGTATCCGGGACTTAATTACATAAAGACATTTTAAGCACATTGCTTTTGTTTTGTAAATATGAGTAATAATAGAATAATATTTAAAAAAGCAACACACAAGTTTCTTGCTTGTTCTTCTTGTGATGAGACAGCATTCCGAATGAGCGGTAGATTAAATAAAAGAACATTTTTTTTAATCTACCGCTCATTCGGAACAACTTACATTGGAGCACTTTTGAATAATCATTAGATTATTCAAAAGTGCTCCAATGTAAGTTTATTTGAATAAATGATTTTCTATTCTATTCTGAGTATTTGTTTATTAATGTTTCAACAAGAACCGTTATTTAACGTAAACACACATTGTGGAGTATTATTTTATAACATACTGCACGATAAAGCACAAAGTTCACTTATGAATGTTTACAAACACAGATAACTGGGTTCCTTATCGAGCAAACATACTGGGAACTGCGAACAAAGAGATTCTTGTGAATTTGTAGCGATAGACAACAATTTGTTATTAATTATACTTACTCTATACTTTATGAATAGCTCTGTGGTCATTTAATCTATACATATAAATAAAATTGGAGTGTCTGTTTGTAATATGAATATAAATACGGTACATACACCAAAATATTTTTTTTTACAATTTTTGTCTGCCTGTCTGTCTGTTTCTTCCGGCTAATCTCTGAAATGGCTGGATCGATTTTGACGGGAGTTTTATTGGCAGGTAGCTGATGTAATAAGCATTTATTTTAAAAAAAATCTTTTAATAAAATACATGCACCAAAAAATAACAGTTTTTATCATTTTTGTCTGTCTGGCTGTTTGTTTGCTTGTAATGAGTTTATTTGAATAAAAATTATTTCTATTTCTATTTCTACATCAATTCATAGTTAATTGGTAGATAATTTTAAGTTTAGGTTTTTTGTTATCATTTCGACTTTATGTATGTTGCGTATAAAATTAAAATAAATAAATACAATAACTATATTTGTTATATTATAACGTGAGTCAATAATTCCCTGAAACATGTCCAAACAATGAAAATTGCAATAACAAAAGTATATACTCAATATCTGAGAACTACATTTTTATGTGAAACACTTGTTATGAATCATACGCTATACATCTAATTAATAAACATATTTTTATCGTATATATGAAATTCTCGTGTCACAATGTTGGTTACCTTACTCCTTCGAAACGGCTTGACTGATTTTCATGAAATTTTATATACATGTTCAGTAGGTCTGAGAATCGGTATCTATTTTTCATACCCTTAAGTTATAAGGGTTGTCCACCCCTAACATTAATATTTATTTTTGTCAATATTTAATGATATACAATCCCAAATTTACACCCTTCTAGCATCAACCCCTATTTTTTAATAGCTATTTTGATTTATATGGCAAAATAACGTTTGCGGAATCAGCTAGTAATTGTATAACATCTTGTTAATATTATAATCGTGAAAGTTTGTGAGTATGTTTGTTACTCTTTCACGCAAAAACTACTGAACGGATTTTGATGTAACTTTACAGTAATATAGCTTATACATTAGAATAACATGTTACACACTGATTTTCTTATAATACTTACTAATATTACACATGCTGCCTCAGTAAGTTATATACTTTATATATATAAAATTCTCGTGTCACAGTTTTCGTTCCCATACTCCTCCGAAACGGCTTGACCGATTATCATAAAATTTTGTGAGCGTATTGAGTAGGTTTGAGAATCGGCCAACATTTATTTTTCATCCCCCTGAATGTTAGGGGTAGTCCACCCCTATTTTTTTTTTATTTTAAGGCAAAACAACGTTTGCCTGGCCAGCTAGTACTTTATATATGACTAGCTAACCGGCGCGACTTCGTCAGCATCCTATAGGCGATATATTATTAAATATCGCCCAATTTACATAATATCTTTTTAAATTATAGCCTATATTTTATTCTTATGTATAAGCTATATTACTGTAAGTTTCATCAAAATCCGCTCAGTAGTTTTGCATGAAAGAGTAACAAACATCCATCCATACTTACAAACTTTCGTGTTTATAATATTATTGAGATAGCATATGCATAATAAATTTATTAGGCATATTATTATTTATCTCACTCTCTTTTACCAGAGACACTTTGAACAAAGTCAGTTATTGTAGTGTCATTCGAAATTGTATTTTGGATTATTTTAAAATACATACACAAAAGTATTTTTGTGAAATACCAATCCATCCATAATTGTATTTTGAATTTATGATTACTGAAAAAAGTCTATTACTCACTAAACGATTACTTTAATGACGAACGTGCATGGTAATAGTTGTTGCACGGGATTTTCATTTAATGTTAGACATAGACACCTATATAAAGATACATTGTAAATAAACTGGCTTTTAAATTAAAAAGTAATTCAATTGATTTTCTTGCCAGTTCTTCTCAATTATATTTATATACGGAACTGGACGATAGGGAAAAAATTAAAATTATAGTGTAAAAAATTTGACGTTCATAAGCGGCTAAAATAAAACATGAATAAATGATTTTTGAATTTACTAGCACTTAACTCGTACGAAATCCGTTCTAAACTTATTAGAAACTGTATCCTGCTACTAAATGAAGTAGGAAGCAAAAATAATATTATACTGAGATGGGTTTCGGGCATTCAAATATTGAAGGCAATGAGAATGCCGACCATCTGGCAAAGTTAGGGGCAAAAACCGTCCAACTGGGCCCCGAACCCTTCTGTGGTATGCCTCGTTGCCTAAAACTGGGACGTCTCAAATTAATAACCAACCAAAAACACTGAATCACTGGCAAGAAATGCCAGGATTAACACATTCAAAAGACCTAATATCGGGCTACTCGAACAAATACTCCAATAGACTACTGCTATTGAGTAAAAACAACATATGCATGATGACTAGGGCCCTCACAGGACACTGCAAATTAAACAAGCATATGGCTAAACTAGGCCTATGCATGACAAGTATCTGTAGATTCTGCCAAACTGAAGAGGAAACGCCGCTTCACATCCTATGTGGTTGTAGCCCACTCATGCATAAACGAAATATCTCCTTTGGAAAGTTTAAACTCTTTCCTGAGGAGATAAAAACGATCGCTCCTAAGAATATCCTTCAATTCTTGTCCCTGACGGGTTTATATAGTGAACTGGACTGAAAAGGGCGAAAAAATAAATTATATGTAAAAAATTTGAGTGCATAAGCGGCTAACATCTGACAATAGCCCAAACATTTTCCAATAAAAAAAGAAAATAAGACATACACAAAAGTATTTTTGTGAAACAACAATCAATCTATAATTGTATTTTATATTATTTTTAAAATACATAAATAGATGTATTTTATATGAAATAACATCTTCCGTTACGATTGTTCGGCGACAAGTGTAAATATTGCGAGTTGATAATGGGGACGTGACTGATAAATTTAAACACAAAAGCTGACCTCTTAACTCGTGACGACCCCACCGATAACTGGGGATCAAGTTAACAGATTGTTACCATCAATTGATACAACTATATTCGCGTGAACTGGAGTAACTTTGATATGTGGACTTCATATCCATTTAACTCACTCTTCATTTTAAATAGAAATAATCTTTATTCAAATAAACTCATTACAAGCACTTTTGAATAGTCATATTTTGATTCTACCACTCATTCGGAACGCAGTTAAATCATCACAATGTTGCTTCGTGAAGGTTACATTTAAATTTACATTTATTGACATTGCTACAATGACGAGAAACATTTAATAGATGTTTTTTCTTTTATATAATAATTACAGTATAACAAGTAAGAGGTATGCGATAACATAGAAATCGCTACGCACTCATTATTAGTGTAATCAGATAATATTCTCAGTGCTATGGTTACTTGTCGGTTCCTATTTTATTATTAGTAGTAACTAGCAATCGAAAGTAATAATTGGTATATGAGAACTGGCCAAGTTAGATCTTAGGCTACAGTATATTATCCTAAGTTATAAGAAGAAATGATATTATATATTGTTATAAATACATTTCAGGACATACCATTGAACTTGGCACCCATTTAGATCTCATCGCTTTTGTCGTAGAAGTCAACAATCAAGGCATATATCATAATATTAAACTCGGCTATCATTTCACATTTATGTTTTTGATGGGATATGATTTAACAGATGTTTTGAATTTATTTAAGGGTAATTCCAATATATCCTTTGGTATCTTATTGTAAAATTTTATACCTATTCCCATAAAAGACCTATTGACTTTTTCTAAACGATACTTGGGGACAGCAAGTTTGTCTTTAAAATTAGAAGAAACATAGGATACTTTTTATTAAAAAATAAAAGAAATATTTTCGATTCAATGCGAGCTAATGAGATATATAGTGTAGTGTGGTACTGACCGTACTGAAGGACCAGCAGGAGCCGCACTTGCCCTGGTCCTTGACCTCTGTGACGGCGCCCTTCTTCCGCCAGTCGACCTGTTCAGGCACGGTCACGTGAGCCGGCGAGATGAAAGTTGCCCCGCGTGTGTCGCGGCCCTTACTGAACAGCTGCTTGTTGTGCCTGCACCAAACAAGGACCACGTTGAATAAATCGGACACTATTATAACAAAGTCTACAATCTATACATATAAATAAAATTGGAGTGTCTGTTTGTAATATTGAAATAACCGTTTTTTACTATTTACTTGCATATGAATATAAATATGGTACATACACCAAAATAACATTTTTACAGCTTTTGTCTGTCTGTCTGTTTGTTCTGGCTAATCTCTGAAATGGCTGAACCGATTTTGAGGCTTATATTGGCAGGTAGCTGATCTAATAAGGAGTAACTTAGGCTACTTTTATTTTAGAAAAATAACGCGGATGAAGTCGCGGAACAGCTTGTGTAATAATAAACATGATTTTATAAATGGTTTCTAAATAAGTAATCGTTTTTAAACCTACAGGTGTCACAACCAGAGTTCTCTTATAACCATCGGTGGCCAGAAAAAAGATTTAAATGTCATCATAATAAATCATCTAGTGGTTTAAACACATTAAAAAATCGTAAAGAATGTAATGAGGGTATTTGAATATTAACGGTATTCATATTTACAAATATTTGTCATTATCAGACTTCTTTTTATTAAATTAGTGTGTAACATATGTAATGTGTTGTGACTAAAGCAATCCATCAGCTGTATACATACATAACTACTGCCGGCTTTTGTACTAAATAACGTTGCGGCCGCGTTGAGCGATGAGTGGCGATGACTCACAAAGAAATAAACGTAACCAATACACATCGTGAACAACTGTTCCGAGTTTAGTAGGTACTAGCTGTACTAGCTGTACTCGCGACTTCGTCCGCGTGGAACAAAAAGTTAATTGCAGATTTTTTCTAAAATCAAGTAACCTAAGTGTTAGCTTCAATGTATAGAGAACGTAATTTATTGCTTACATTTCAAATTTAAAAGTTAATTGGACATTTTTTTTTAAATAAAAAATGTAAGTGACTCCTTATTACATCAGCTACCTGCCAAAAAAACTCCCGTCAAAATCGGTCCAACCATTTTAGAGATTAGCCAGAACAAACAGACAGACAGACAAAAATTGTCATCCGTCAAAATCGATCCAACCATTTCAGAGATTAGCCAGACAGACAAAAATTGTAAAAAATCTTATTCAGATGCATGTACCGTATTTATATTCATATGCATGTAGTGAAAAACGGTTATTTCAATATTACAAACAGATACTCCAATTATATTTATATGTATGTATAAATATAGGTGTATAGATTAAAAATAGAATAGAATAAGAATAAAATATAATTTATTCAAATAAACTTACATTGAAGCACTTTTGAATAGTCATCACATTTTTTTTTATCTACCGCTCATTCTGTAAGCTGTCTCATCACGAGAAGAACGAGCGAGAAACTTGTGTGTTGCTCTTTTAAATAATTTTATTCTTACTTTACAATTTAAGTTTAAGCGTGTGAATACAAACTACCAATTAGCACTAATTCAATTCAATACACAAATAGAGAAAATAAATAATAAATATATAAATATATTTGTCACCATTTTATTGAGTGCAGTACCCGATTTATGGGCTCATTTAAAGTCTTTTGTTGTTCTATTCACACTGCTGTATTTATTATTTATTGCTGCGGGTTCTATACCCGCTTAATACAAATTCACGAGTACGTGTGTATTTACTTGATTTGGTAGTTTTTACAGAATTGAATAGAAAATTATTTAATAATAATAATAATCTCAGGACAATTCACACAGCGCCATCTAGACCCAAGTTAAGCTAGCTTTAAATAATGTAATGAGGGTGTTTATATAACTGATACATATACATAGATATTTTTTTTCATAAATACATACATATTATACTTAATAAACACCCAGACCGATACAAACAATCACACTCATGAATACAAATGTTTGTGCCGTGCAAGGAATCGAACACGCGATCGGACGTAGAGCGGTGTGCTAGACCGCTAGACCACCGAGGTCGTCAATTTATTCAGCTAATTTTAAATTTAAGCAATTTTGAAGTTATACTTATTTTTTATTACGGGTCATTGGATAAGTTGTCTCATTACAAGAACGAGCAAGAAACTTATGTGCTGCTCTTTTAAATAATTGTTGTAACTTTACATTTTTATGTTGAAATGTGTGAATATGAACTACCAACTAGCGCTAATTCATTAGAATAGAATAGAATAGAAAATAATTTATTCAAATAAATTTCATTTAAACACTTTGGATAGTCATAACAAAATTATTTTTTTTTATCTACCGCTCGTTTGGAAAGCTGTTACATTATGTATAAACAATTTTCTTTCATTCTTTCTTTCTTTTTTCCTTTTTTCCTTTTTTCGTTCTTTCTTTCTTTTCTTTATTCATATTTATTTACAGCTTTATATATACTGTATGTACCTATATGCATGTTTACATATAGGAAATGTATATTATTTATAACATAGATATTATTTTCCTTCTTCATTACATTTGCACCGCCTACAGTTTCTCTGCACAACCTGTGGTTGCCTGGGTACCTTGGTATTTTGTGCATTGAAGTTATATATATAAATATAAAATTTTCGTATCACAATGTTAGTTATGAAATTTTATATATACATTCAGTAGGTCTGAGAATAGGCTACTATCTATTTTTCATACAACTAAGTTATAAGGGAAAAATATAAAATTATAAAAATAAAAAATAAATGTTAGGTATAGACCCTAACATTTATTTTTTTATTTTTATGTTAAAATATAAACAATCACAAATTTTCACCCCTTTACCATAAATCCCTATTTTTTAATAGCGATTTTAATTTATATGTCAAAACAATGTTTGCAGTGTCAGCTAGTAAATAAATAAATAAATAGATAGTTACATTACAATATATCATAAACCAACATAGTCATCGTTAAATCATAATAGGACAAGTAAAGTCATAGTTCATAGATAAGCCGGTATCTACGACGTGACATTGTCATCATGTGACAACATGTGTCACTATCCACATAGCTAATTATGTTACAAATAACAAAATATATAGCTGTCTCATCACAAGAAGAACGAGCAAGAAACTTCTGTGGATTGGAAATGTAAAGTTACAACGATTATAAAAAGAGCAACACGCAAGTTTCTCGCTCGTTCTTCTTGTGATGACAAAGATTTCCGAACGAACGGTAGATTAAAAAAAATTGTTATGACTATTCAAAAGTGCTCAAAATTAAGTTTATTTGAATAAACGATTTTCTATTCTATTTTTAATTAATTAAATTCAGTAATATAAACTATAGTGTATATAGTTTGACGACCTCGGTGGTCTAGCGGTCTACCACACCGCTTTACGACCGATGGTCGCAGGTTCGATTCCTCGCACGGTACAAACATTTGTATTCATGAGTATGATTGTTTGTATCGGTCTGGGTGTTTTCTATATATAATATGTATGTATTTACAAAAAAAATCTATGTACTTGTATCAATTACACAAGTAGTAAGTAGAACCCATAACACAAGCTTTAGCTAGCTTAACTTGGGTCTAGATGGCGTTGTGTGAATTGTCCTGAGATTATTATTATTATTATAGTAAATAGCGACAACTTTTTGATCAGAACTTTTGTCTTGACAAATGCTTACCTATTTATTTAACATTATAATACTATAGTAATTTAGTTCTCATTTCGGTTAAAATTATTTGTGAAAATATAGGCGCTTGATGGGTTTTGCACACAGGCGCCGTATGGGGCGGCCCCTGGCGCGCCCCTGGGTGTAGTGGACAAGGGCCTGGTGAAATGAAAATCCTTGGCGACGCGAAAGTCCATCTCGGTTTGCCAAGGATTTTCACTTACAACATTAAAGCATACCCTACCTACAAAAATAAATTAATGTAATTGATGTACTTACTTAGAAGTCCTGTTGTACCCGTTCATGGTGTGTACGAACTCATGGTGCAGCATGTCCCCGTACTTGTTCTGCCGCAGTTTGTACGTCACCAGGCCCTGCTCGAAGCGCTGGTTGTGCTTCGCGATGCGGTGCTTGTTCTCCGCGTAGATCTTCATCCGGAACTTGTCCTCCACCTCGCTGCTGTACTGCTTACTGTGCTCCATCTGGACATAGCCGAGGGCAGGGGATTGTTAGTAATGAGGATTGTTGACTCCATTGCTAGCAATGTACCATGTCAATTTCAAAAGTAAATTACAAATAACTAATAAAATGGTTACATAACGTGTCTCAATTAGGCTCCGCTACTATCCGATATTATCCGACACTTTTATTTCGGATTCGGTTTCGGTTACGAAGCTCCCTAACATCCCTGGTAGTACATATGCTACATGGCTTATCAATAACGCGTACAGTCGACGCGGAGTCGGGACGTAGATGAGATATGAAATAGATAATTTTACATCATCATCATCATCATCGCAGCCCGGAAGACGTCCACTGCTGGACATAGGCCTCCCCCAAAGATCTCCACGACGATCGGTCCTGCGCTGCTCGCATCCAATGCCTTCCCGCGATCTTGACCAGATCGTCGGTCCACCTTGCTGGAGGCCTTCCCACGCTGCGTCTTCCGGTCCGTGGTCGCCACTCGAGGACTTTACTGCCCCAACGGCCATCTGTCCTACGAGCTATGTGCCCTGCCCATTGCCACTTCAAAGTCGCAATTCTTCGGGCTATGTCGGTCACTCTGGTTCTTCTGCGGATCTCCTCATTTCTGATTCGATCACGCAGAGAAACTCCGAGCATAGCCCTCTCCATTGCCCTCTGAGTGACTCTGAGCTTGTTGATGGGGCCCATAGTTAGCGACCACGTCTCTGTTCCGTAAGTCATCACTGGCAACACACATTGGTCGTAAACCTTCGTCTGAGATTTTACACTTAACTTAAATCTATGTTAGTGGAGACGTAAATGGAAGGGTCTCAAGTGTCGACAGAAATATTACAAGCATTGCCTACAGCACAGACTGTTGACCCCATTGCTCACAATGTACCATGTCAGGTTGACTTCCACGCGGTTCCCCCTAGAAACCATCGTGATCCTGGTGGATTTGTCACGATGTGCTAACTGACCTGACCTCATGCTCATCTTATCATCCTTCACTGGTGCCCCGCCAGTTAAACCGTCAGCGCAGGCGTCATTTTTTAAGCTTTTTTTTTTTTATTCTTACATTTATTTCTTGTTAAATTCATAAATCGATACAAACAATCTAATACACGACATGTGCGCGGTATTACGATGGCCTTGATCAGTACGTTCCGCACTACGAGCTGCCACCTCCACTGTGCCCAGTGGTGGAGCACGACACTGCGACGCGGAAGGAAACGCATTCAAACAATCACGTGTGGAATATGAATTAGTAACAGGTGTTATACGCACATATATACAGAACTAGCTATACCCGCGACTTCGCGTGGTTATCAAACACTATCTGCGTTGCAACATTTTTTACTGATGCTTCGCTTCTATTGGTAATAATTCAAAATATATTTATTCACGTAGATCTATTACAGACTCTTATGATATGTCAAATCTATCATCAGTTCGGAATAATTTCTAGGTGATATTTTGTTTTTTTAGTTTTTTTTCGGACTACTCTAATGCTGTTGGCCGCAGCTGGCCTTTACAGCTTCACCGGATGATAGGGGGCGAGTGCAGATGGCACTCCAAACCCGCGGAAGGACTTATGGCTGAAGGCCAACTCCCGCCTGACGGATACGACTTTAGTCTGAGGGCACCGCTAGGGGTTCGAACCTCGGCTCAGGACGTCGTAATATCCCCGTTTGTATTGGACGGGGGATCGATCAGAGAGGATTTCGAGGTGAGAAGAACTTGTCAGTTCTTCTCACCTCGAAATCATTCCAAATTCAATTCAATTCCAAAATACTCAGCTCGTATTTACATCTTAAAGCCTTCTTCGACAAATGGACAACACAAAAATATTTTTTCAATTCGGACCAGTAGTTCCTGAGATTAGCGCATTCAAATGAACAAAAAAACTCTTCAGCTTTATAATATGTATTATTATAGATTAGTTAAATAGCTGAAGAGAATAGAATAGAATAGAATTTGGAAAAACTAGCAAGAAAGAAATTCAATTGATTTTTTTTTTCAATTCCTTAAGATGAACTGACACGATTTCATACTCATCACCAATGTGCCCGGCCAGCGTATACGCGATTACTATTTCATCATCATCAATAAAAACAAAATGAAAAGTGAGTATATAGAGTAGTACACTGGTTCCCAAATAGTTTTCGCTGCGTACCACTTCAAAATATATCTCAATACTTGCGTACCCCTTATTGTAGCAATCACGCTAATATTATAAATGTGAAAGTTTGTGAGTGTGTGTGTTTGTTTTGCTGATAGCCGCACGTACCCCTTGATGCAACTTCACGTACCCCTGGGGGTACGTGTACTACTATTCGGAAACTCCGGAGTAGCTATTCGTCAAGAATCACAATCGGTAAAGCTAACCGTCATGACTTCATCCTCATCATCATCTACCACTGTGCCCGGCCAGCGAAGACGTGATCAACATCTCATCATCATTAACAATGCGTGTATGGCTAGAAGTTACCTTGTAAGCATTCCACTCCTCCTTGACCAGGTCGAAGAAGGAGACAGCGCCGACGGAGGCCAGCGCCGCCACCGCCACGCACAACGCCACCGTGATACTCCTCATTGTTGCTGCTGCTGCACTGCACTGCACTAGTTAAGACACTCTGCGTTCTCTGTACCAAGAGCAGACGTTACGTGTTAGTTATTAAAATTTACGTCGTAACTAATATTATGAAGAGTGTGATTAATAATAATAATAATATCTCTGGACAATTCACACAGCGCTGATATAAATACATGGATACATTTTTTTTTTTTATAAATATTATTCATAGAAAACACCCAGACGGATACCAACAACCATACTCAAGAATACAATTGTTGGTACCGTGCGAGGAATCGAACCCACGACCATCGGATAGGAAAGCGGTGTGCTAAACCACTAGACCACCGAGGCTGTCAAATAAATCAAAGTGATTAAGTATGAATATAAAACCTCCTTGGCCATGAAATTTATATTTTACTTTTTTATTTACGTAATGATTCGAAATTCGAAATTTGAAAATTATTATAACAAAAGTTTGATACTATAACATGGCGTATTAATAATTCATTTTTTAATTTGTAAATTACTTAATATTGAACACTAGTGGATAAAAGGAAGTGGTATTATGTTTTTGAATCCGTTAAACAGAGTGAAAGATTTGTTTTTATGTTTGTAGTGGAAATCCAAACATATTTATTAATTTTAAAAGTATTTCCTACCTACAAGATTAGGCATTATTAGAGGGTAACAAAAGCTTTTGTCTGTATACGCTGTTTATACCCATAGAAAATTCAAACTACGCAACGGATATTTATATATAACGATGCAGTTTTACCTGGAATTACCTGGAACTTAGTCCGCGTGGATTTTTTTTAATATGTAAATTTTCAAATAATTAAGTAGAAGCCAAGTAATTGTTTATATAGAAAATTGATATTGAGGAATTAGACAATTAAAAAAAAAGTAGAAGCCTAACTTTATTTATAAGTTTTCTGTGAGTGAAACTCCCGTCAAAATTGGACCATTTCAGAGATTTGCAACAAACAGGCAGATAAAAAAATATTTTGATGTAAATACCGTATATTACTTTCATTTGAATTTAGTGAAAAACTAGTAATTTGATTTTTTTTTATATTATAGACACTTTAACTTTATTTAAAAAAAAGGTATATGTTAAGTTGTATGTATTTATTATACCAAAGCGTCCATTGTATTACAAGTGTGTACCTATGTAAGTAGAATCTACATATTTTAAACCTATTTTTCCTTATCTCTCACGGCAGATACACACTATACCTACTTATTAGTGTACCTACCTATAATAATATTGAAAAACTTATGTTCATAATCTGTGGCCCTTATTATTGGCTATATTAAATTCAAATCTAAGCGTTAAACAAAAGTAAAATACTCCTATATTTGCGAATCTTGATGTTTATTGTAAAAATAATTATTATCCTTAAAAAAATGATGCAATAAACAATTAAGATAAAAATATTCAACACTTGACCCTAATTCTTAAGACAATAATAATGTTATTATGCTGTCGATACATTTTTTTTTAAATAGAAATAATTATTAATATTCGTAAAAACTAATTTATGATGATTCAATAAACAATTTATTAAAAAAAATATAACCATAGCTATTGTCTAAGAATTAGGGTCAATTATTGAATATTTTTATTTTTATGTAACGGTCTTATTAATCATCTTTTTTTACTTGTAATTTCCAGTTACATATGAGACAATTGTTATTTACTACCCTCTTAATCAATATAAACATTATCAACTAAGTCATTTTCTTTTATTATTTATGCATATTGATCGGTTTATGAACGATATTTTTTACGATACACTGGTTCTCAGTCTGCTGATTTTTTACGCAGTGTTTCTTTAAGTATTGCATGAGTCGACACAAAGCAAAGATGATGTGATCCGAATAATATCCTTTGTATCTAATTAAATCACACACAATTGACTTTTAACTATATTAAGGTTCCAAAAATTAGCTAATTCACTCACCTGGGTAATAAAAGTTTAGAAGAAAGAAATCACTGTGTATAAAGGGCGTATAGTAAAATTAATATTATTTAATTAAAAAAGCACACGACCGATTGAAGTCGAGTATAATTTGTTTGTGTGGGGATTTAGCTTCGCCGGATGTACTTATACTAGGGTAGTGCATCCTCTTCGTATTTACTTCTGCTTTATCGACATCGACAAATAAGGTTGTCTTTCACATGTACAAATACACAAATATAGAAAATTCTTTACATTAATATTTTACATTATGTGTTTTTTTCCTATTTGGAGGCTTCTTCTAACATTTAGTAGAAAATAAATGCTTAAAAACAGTAAGTTTACTATATATCGAATATGGTAAATTAGTGAATGAATGATAATCGATTCAGTGTATTTATTTACATAAAAAATATATGATATAATGAGTATATTATGGACGTGGGTTCTACATTTTATTTGACAAATAGACTATATGATACAATAATAATGAATTCAATTAAAATTAAACCCCATCACTAATTTAAATTTGGTTTGGTTTTGTTGCAAAATTTAACTCATTTTGTATTAAAAACTTATAGTTTAGCCCTTAAATTAAATTCGTATTGGCAACATGACTGAAGTTTTTACTTTGCAGTTCCATTTGTCTTAGGAAGACTTACACTATAAAAATAAATAAGTACTCTGTGCTATGATTGTACGCCACTTTGCTTGTTTCCAGGGCATAAAAACAGAGTCGATAAGTCGTGAAGAAAAAAAAATCATTTCGCACGGTCGACATATTTGAGGTTAATAATTTTTATATTTTAACCCATAAGAATAATGAAACAAAATATTAAAGACGGTAAAAAATCTGGAAATAAAAATAAATTCAAATTGTATAAAACCAAAAAGAAAAATACAGATGATGCAGCCATTCAATATTTACAGGCGCAATATGAAAAGGTAAACATTATTTTTAATTTGGAATTATTATTTATTACTCTACTGTTCTATATATTTCTTCTTGTTAACTACTAATGAATGTATTTATAAGATCTTGAACTATGAAATAAATTTACAATAACAAATTTTATTGTTATTTTTTAAGCATTAAAATAAATAGCAATGTTTATTTTTAGATTGTTTCAGGTGAAATAAAAACATTCAAAGATTTTCCACTGTCTCAAAAAACTTTAAAAGGTCTCAAGGATAACAATTACAACACTCCTACAGAGATCCAGAGAGAAGCCATTGGGTATGCATTGCAGGGCAAGGATATATTAGGAGCTGCTAGAACAGGTTCAGGAAAGACCCTTGCATTCTTGGTGCCAATATTAGAAATATTGTTTTGTAAAAAATGGACCAGACTAGATGGAGTGGGGGCTTTAGTTATATCACCGACCAGAGAGTTGGCATACCAGATATATGAGACTTTGAGGAAAGTTGGCAGTCTGCATGACTTCTCAGCGGGGTTAATAATTGGTGGTCAGAATCTTAAGTTTGAAAGGAAGAGAATGGATCAAATTAACATTCTAATCTGTACTCCCGGTCGCCTCCTACAGCATATGGATGAGAATCCACTATTTGACTGCAGCCACCTTCAGATTCTAGTCTTGGATGAAGCCGATAGATGTTTGGACATGGGTTTTGAGACTACCATGAATGCTATAATAGAAAATTTACCACCCGAGAGGCAGACGCTTTTGTTTTCTGCAACACAGACAAAATCTGTGAAAGATCTGGCTCGCCTCAGTTTATCTTTTCCAACATATGTAGCTCCGCATGAGCAGGCAGCCACTGTGACACCGGAATCTCTGCAGCAGAGTTATATTGTTTGTGAGATTGATGAAAAAATTGGTATCCTTTGGTCATTTATCAAGAATCACTTGAAGCAAAAGGTGTTAGTGTTCATGGCCACATGTAAACAAGTTAAATACACATATGATTTGTTTTGTAAGTTGAGACCTGGTGTTAGCCTTCTAGCACTATATGGGACATTACACCAAGAGAAAAGAGAAAAAATATACAATGAGTTTTGCAGAAAATCTAATGTTGTACTTTTTGCAACAGATTTAGCTTCCAGAGGGTTGGACTTTCCAAGAGTTAATTGGGTCATACAGATGGACTGTCCAGAAGATGTTGATACATACATACACAGAGCAGGCCGTACTGCACGAGGCACATTTGGAAAAGGTGAAGGTCTCCTGATGTTGTTGCCTAATGAGGAAAAAATTGTGGAAGATTTGCAAAAAAGTAAAATACCTATAAACAAAATATCTGTTGACCCATCAAAAGTCATTGCTCCACAAAGGAAAATAGAGGCTTTGCTTTCCGACAACACAGATCTGAAACAGACAGCTCAAAGAGCATTTGTTAATTATTTAAAATCAGTTTTTTTAATGAAGAATAAAGATATATTTAATGTTCAACTTTTGGATACTGATGCATATGCCAGGTCTCTTGGTTTGATAGTACCCCCTAGAATAAGATTCATGCACAGGGCCATAAAAAGTAATATTGAAAATAAACAGACAGATGAAACTGAAAATAATGATGTGGTTGAAAAATTAAAAGCAAACATGATAAATAAGGGTGAGGAATCCGAGCAAAGTGACTCTGAAGATGAAGAAATAGATGATCAAATTCAAGAAAGTAAAAACAATACAAAGCAGAAAAAGAAGCCAGATTTAATTAAATTTGATTTTCACAATGATGATAGTGATGAGGATGATTTCCTTCAAGTTAAAAAAACTGATGTAGAAGTGGAAACAACTCCTTTACAAGAAGAGAATATTAAATCAAAGAAGAAATCTAAACCAATTACTAAAGCTGCTGTGGCTAAAAAAATATTGAAGAAAAAAATTACAGTAAATACTAAAGTTAAATTTACAGAAGAAGGTGAAGCAATTGGAGATGAAAAGAAGGATGTCAAATCGGAACTAGCAAAACAATTTATTAATGAGAATGTTGGTGGTATAGATATTGAAAAAGCAAAAGAAGTTTTAAGAGAAGAGGATAAATATGACAAAATAAGGTTCAGAGAAAAGGTGAAAGCAAAACATAGGGAAAATAAAAGAAAACTTAAAAATAAAAAGAAGGAAGACGAAGGAGATAAGGATGATTTTGGATCACAGTCAGAATCTGATGGACCTGATTTGTCGTGGTTACCTGATCCTGATAAAGTTTACGATGAAAACAATAAGAGTGATGTAGAACAAGACAGCAATGATGATAGTAATAGAAGTAACACACAATCTGATAGTGAACAATCTGAAGAGGAACATGAAAAATATCATAGGTTAATATTTTATACTTTAATTTTTCTTTTAAATTTTATATAAACTGGTTCTGAAGGTCTCAATATGACTTTCACATAATCTGCTGCAGATGCCATTGTGGGTAACTGCTGGTGATCTGAGCTGAGCTTATTGCTCAACAAAATGATAATTTTATTCTCATATCATTATGAATATATTATTTTGTTGTTTTTTGTTCTATTTAGTGAAATAATACTTTTAACATTATATTTAATATTTTTTCTACAGGCCAACAAAACGGAAATTAGTGGAGAGTAGAGGCATACCACAAGAAAGTGTGGCGCCTCGAAAAGTAAAGAAAATGCAAGATCTATCTGCTTCACTGTCTGTACACGAGGCAGAGGCACTGGCTATGCAGTTGCTGCGAACTAAATCATAAACATTTATAATTAATATAATAAATATGTTAAATATGATTTGAATTGAATTTTATTAATTGACTAGCTGTTCCCCGCGACTTCGTCCGCGTGGAATTTAACATTCATTTTCTGAAATGAAAGTAGGCTAAGTTAATCCTTATTACATCACCTACCTGCCAATAAAAGTCCCGTCAAAATCGGTCCAGCCATTTCAGAGATTAGCCGGAACAAACAGACAGACAGACAGACAAAAATTGTAAATAATGTTATTTTGGTGTATGTACCGTATTTGTATTCATATGCATATAGTAAACATCAGTTATTTCAATATTACAAACAGAAGAGCGTCGTGGCCTAGTGGATTACACCAGAGGTCGGAGGATCATTTGATCTCACGACAAAAAAACTTGTGTCATGTATCAAATTAAAAATAATATACCGCCGCGCCTACCACGTTGTATCTAAATATGTATTTGAATGCAAATAGAGATATACATATATATGCGATATGTGGATAAGTCAGTAAGTATTGTGATGACAACATCAGCTGGTGACAATGCTTCTGACTACCTTATGTGCGATAGCAGTCGTAGCGGTATATTTACGTTTGTAAAAGATAGTGTACACTTAACTATTTTTTGTGTTGCATACTAATTAATGAATGATTATATTTAAATCTTAATTTTAAATTAAAAACCTTCGTTCTTAGCTTAATACCTATATTATTTAAAATTAAAGTTCAAACGCATAATTACATCAAATAATTATTGTGAACTAGAACTTACAGTTAGGTGAGAAAATTACTACTCAAATGAGACAATATACACACGATATGTGAGACAGTCGTTATAAGTGACAACGTATTTCTAACGTAGGTTCAGAGTTCCTTTTGTTTGGAATGCTATCTGTGAATTGCAAGTTTTAATTTTAAAACTCTAATTATAGTTTTGCTTTACGCAGATTTGTTTCTGGTAGAAAATGGTTTAACATCTCTATAAATTATTCAATAATTTTATTTATAAATAATAATAGTACAGATTTATAGTTCATGATCACTAAATCCTTTTTTAAATTCTTATTCGTTTCTATTTACCCATTTCCCGTCTATTGTAAGTGGCATATTGGGCAACACGAACCCACTGCCAAAAGGAAAAAAAAATAGAAAAATATTTTTTTAACCTAGCAACATTGTTATTCGCCTGTCAAAAAAGAAAACGGATCGTTGCATTTTTTATCGTAGAAACGCTAAAATCTGCAAAATTACAAGTTTTCTATGGATTTAGAGTAATTTAACACCTTGTACTTATTAATTTTAATTATGTTTTGGAGTGGAAATTATATTGTAGTAAGGGGTCTAAACTTTCTTCTCAAAGAAGAGGTGCGTATTTTCTTCAAAATTCGTGGTTAGGAGTGGTTGATTTGTTATATATTATGTTTCCTCGTGATATGTTATATATTAACTCATTGTTATCGACTGTCATAGCCGGAGTCCGACATCAACTGCGGCATGTAATGTCTGTAAATGTGATATATTGTTTTTGTTTCAGAATGCATCACTATCATTGACTCAGGTGCTGGAGGCGGATGATATTCTACAAGAATGTAAAGCTGATAACAAAAATTTGATGCAGTTGTAAGTAATAGCCAATATCAGGAAATAAATATATTCAATTATACAATATTAAAAGGTACATACATACATATATCTGCTTTATCATCATCAGCTCTTTGTTATCAGATTGTGTAAGATTTGTTGGTAAGTACTGATTTGCATTCATAATTTGGAAAAAACAATGTATCTCTTGTATATTATAGAATCTCTAGTCAATGGTTGAAAGTTGTTACACTTTACATTGCTTTTATTTATTATTATTATTTATATATTATATATCTCCCTTTGATGGGGTAATAGACTGATCAACTCGTTACCCATGATGAAGCAATTTTTTGTTCTTTCTATATATGTCAAATTTCTAAGCCTATCATATGGTAGTTGAGCCTGCAATTTGGTACCCATGTTACAGTATTTTCTTGGTATTCTCTCCTTCTGTATGCAATCATATCTTCCAGCTATAATCAGATTATGTGGTGTTAAGAGCATTAGTATTAGAAACCTGATCACAACTAGTCCATTCCATTCCCGAGCTGCTCATATAATGTTGTTAATTAAATATAAGTAAATCAATATTTATTTAAAAGAGCAACACACAAGTTTCTTGCTTATTCTTCTTGTGATGAATCTGCATTCCGAATAAGCATAAGTAGAATAAAAAAACTTGACTATTCGAAAGTGCTTATAAATAGAAATAGAAATAATCTTTATTCAAATAAACTCATTACAAGCACTTTTGAATAGTCATATTTTGATTCTACCACTCATTCGGAATGCAGATTCATCACAAGAAGAATGAGCGAGAAACTTGTGTGTTGCTCTTTTTAATAGATGTTTTTTATATAAATAATTACAGTATAACAAGTAAGAGGCATGCGATAATCAACATAGAAATCGCTACGCACTCATTATTAGTGTAATCAGATAATATTGTCAGTGCTATGGAGTTAAAGTTTTTCTATGAAAACGAACGAACTTTGAACGATGATTTTGCCAATGTCATGGTTTGAGAAACAGTGTGATTTGTTGATGTGGCTTGTAATGTAATGTAATGTAAGTTGGACTTCATTTTCCGCAATTGGCCTCTCATCTGGCCCGTTGTGCATGTAGAGTTAAGCTACTAAAGGAACCAGCCATCTCCTCCCAGAAGCGCAGAAGTCTCTTGGTGTCTTCACAGGCTTCACGGTTGCTGTGACTTATTTCAGTTTAATGCAATCACTTGTATCCACTGTTATTAAAAACAATTCAATTTGTTGCAGCCTCACAAAGCCAGAGATTCTGGCGGAACTGATAACGCTGATCACAGAGGAGCCCCCCAACAGTGTGGACCTGACGTCGCAGTACCGGCACGCGAGCATAGCGTGCGAGGTGCTCACCAGCCACCTGTCCATGCTCAGCGACCGGCTGTCGCTGGATGTCACGCAGATGAACCGGCTCTGTGATTTCCTCAACAGGGATCCACCACTAAATCCGCTACTCGCCTCATACTTCAGTAAAACAGTAGAAATGCTGTTGGAACGCAGTCCAAAACAGGTTAGCTTTATTTATTTAAATTATCTATACATATAAATAAAATTGAAGTGTCTGTTTTTAATATTGAAATAACCGTTTTTTACTACATGCATATGAATATAAATACGGTACATACACCAAAATAATATTTTTTACAATTTTTGTCTGTCTGTCTGTTTGTTCCGGCTAATCTCTGAAATGGCTGGTTCGATTTTGACGGGACTTTTTTCGGCAGGTAGCTGATGTATTAAGGAGTAACTTAGGTTACTTTTACTTTAGACAAATAAAGTTAAATTCCACGCGGACGAAGTCGCGGGAACAGCTAGTCAGTTAATATATTTGCTGGTGCATTATAGTTCACATTCTTAACCCTTGTGTGGTTATCTAATATTAACACATCATCTAGCACAGAGCTGTACCAACCAGATACAGTGTCCAGCAACACAAGCCGCAAAATAGATTATGGGAACACAAACAAACATACACGTGATATCTGACTAATATTTTACAGAATTAATATGGTTTGAGATATCTTTGAATAGTAGTGATAGAACATGTGTTGCCACATGAAGAAATATTTATTTATTTAAGACTAGCTGTGCCCGCGAATCCGTCCGCGTGGATTTTAACTTTTTTCTAAAATAAAAGTAGTCTATAGTTATCCTTATCACATCAGCTACCTGCCAATAAAAGTCCCGTCAAAATCGGCCCAGCCATTTCAGAGATTAACCGCAACAAACAGACAGGCAGACAAAAATTGTTATTTTGGTGTATATACCATAATTATATTAAAAACTGCAAACAATCCAGACAAACAGACAGACAGACAAAAATTGTTATTTGCTGTCGTGTATGTCCACCTATGTATATTTATATTCATAGGCTGATGGAAGGTATGTACAATAAAAAAGCCGGGGCTAATGTAATTAATTCCTATTAATGAACCGCTTTACGTCCGATGGTCGTGGGTTTTTTGTACAAACATTTGTATCCATGATTGTTTGTATCGGTCTGGGTGTTTTCTATGTATATTATGTATGTATTTACGAAAAAAAAAAATTATATATGTACTTGTATGTATCAGTTATCTAGATAGCTTAACTCGGGTCTAGAACTGTGTGAATTGTCCTGAGATTATTATTATTATTATTACTATTTTTATCCAAAAATTCTCATCTCCCCTTTAGATAGCTTAACTTGGCAGAATCTAGATGGCGCTGTGTGAATTGTCCTGAGATTATTATTATTATTAATTCCATCGGCCCTGTGTGCAGGATTGGTACCTGTACCACATCGTGTGCCTGCGGGTGTTGGACTTCTTCAAGTCCAGGCGCGACTTCCTGCCCAACCTGCTGCGGCACATATCCACCTCGGCCATCGCGGACACCTTCAAGTACTTCATCAGACTCGACGATCTCTTCAACAAAATCATCATGGAGGTCAGTCATTACCATGTCATTTCAGCTCTCGTGCGAAGGGACTGTTTAAATATATATATAACTCAAAGGTGACTGACGTAGTGATCTATCAACGCACAGCCCAAACCACTGGACGGATCGGGCTGACATTTGGCATGCAGGTAGATGTTACGACGTAGGCATCAGCTAAGAAAGGATTTTGATTAATTCTACCCTCAAAGGGATGAAATTTATATGAAACTTTGTCAATTTTAAACCGATCGGGCTGAGACTTTGCATGCATAAAGCTACTATGACGTAAGCATCCCCTAAGAAAGGATTTTGATAAATTCCAATTGGATAAATTAACGCGAGCGAAGCCGCGGGCAAAAGCTAGTTTTATATATACACCATTTTTGTTTTTAGCTACAACAACTAACTACAATTCGTGGTATTCCGTTGAGTTTCTTGGCAGTTCATCTCAATTGAAACTGTATACTGAAGTGGACGGTAGGGAAAAAATATTAATACAAAAGCTTGATGCTCAAAAGCGCTAAAATGCCCTACATGAAATGAAATGAAATATTATTGCATAAAATGTGGTACATTGGATTTGGTATTCTGAATTTTATTATACTAGATGAAAAACCGGCGTCGCTCGGGTGAAATGTGGGTAGATATTTCTGTAGTCATCGGCTCTCATGGAATATTAAAAGTAAGCAAGGCATAGATTTGTAAAGCTTCGTTCATTGTGTTTAATAAATATAGTAAATAAAAAGGGCAAAAGTTTTTATACAAATAATTTTTATTTTTTTGTAAAACTTTAAGTAAAAAGAACTTATATCCAGAGCCGTAAACAAATTAATAAAAAAAAATTGCCAAAATGTCTCGCAACCGGCCAATTTCAGGTTTAAAGAAAAAACACATACTCTTTTATCATAAAAAAGTGTCAAAAACAATATTTTCGCGAAACGTCAACGACCGAAGAAAATGCTAGTGAAATGAAAAGATGGCGACTGCGGTTTGTTTGTCAGTGTCATTAGAATTTATCGAAATACTCCATAATCCGAATTTTGCGGATATATGTTGTCGACTCGAAATCAATATTTTTTATGTTTTGTTATTCACATAAGGTTTCGTTCGAGTCTACCGTACCGCTTGACGAAATTATTAATATAGATTGTTCGCACATTTAGTAATTTCTGACGTGCAATAGACAATTGTTAATTGAAATATTATCATTATACATTCTTATCGTTACATACATTCATTCATTCATTGCCTTGCCTTTATCCCATTATTTGTCATTCTCTTCCACTGCTCTCTATCGGTCGTCATATCTGAACATACTCTTCTTTTATTCACATCATCTTTCACACAATCCATCCATCTTTTCTTAGGGCGTCCCCTCACTTTACATCCATTATCCTTATCATTACATACATATCTTATATATAAAATTCTCTAAAATTCTTCTAAATTATTTTTTAATCATTACAAAATCGCTGTCGCTATCTGATCATCTCTGAGTATGCTTTAATCTTTAAAACTACGCAACTTTTAAACTACGATTCTAGATGAATGTTTATATATATATATAATACATGTACACTCGTGTGAAGCCGGGGCGAGTAGCTTATCTTATATATAAAATTCTCGTGTCACAGTTTTCGTTCCCATACTCCTCCGAAACGGCTTGACCGATTTTCATGAAATTTTGTGAGCGTATTGAGTAGGTCTGAGAATCGGCCACCATCTATTTTTCATCCCCCTAAATGTTAGGGGTAGTCCACCCCTAATTTTTATTTTATTTTAAGGTTTGCCGGGACAGCTAGTATTACTATAATTAATTAATTTATTAGTTTTAGTCACTTTTTCATCGTTTGTGAAAGGTATTCGTCTATATTATAAAAGCAGAATAATTATATTTGATTTTATTTGTTTAATTTTGTAAATGTAGTGTGACGTACATATTGTTTGTAATTGTTATACTTATCATTGTTTGATATGCAAATACTTTACAATTAGAAACAGGCCTCTATAGTCCAAGAGACTGTCAATAAAGAGAATCACCTATACATCTATAGGTACATATGAATAAAATTGGAGTGTCAGTTTGTAATATTGAAATAACCGTTTTTTACTACATGCATAGGAATATAAATACGGTACATATACCAAAAAAACACTTTTTACAATTTTTCTGTCTGTAGGTTTGCTTGTTGCGGCTAATCTCTAAAATGGCTGAACCGATTTTGACAGGACTTTTATTGGCAGGTAGCTGATGTATAAAGAGTAACTTAGGCTACGTTAATTATAGAAAAATAAAGTTAAATTCCACGCGGACGAAGTTACGGGAACAACTAGTATAAAACAAAATCGCGTTCGCTGTCTGTTCGTCCCTATGTATGCTTAAATCTTTAAAACTACGCAACGGATTTTGAAGCGGTTTTTTAAATAGATATAGTGATTCAAGAGGAAGGTTTATATATATATAATACATGTACACCCGTGCGAAGTCCTTGAAGAATATGACCTTTGATAGATGTGCTAAACGGCTAGACCAACGGTCTAGCAGTTAAATATATCGTTTTACTTCCGATTGTCACCGTTCAATTTCGCTACCAGTCGCTAGTTTGAATATTTATAATAGGAAATATATCTATTTCACATATGTCCATAATTTTCTATTCTAATAAATTAACTTATGTAAATACACGTATTTTATAAATTGTATTCATGATTACGATTGTTTGCTTCGGCCCGGATGTTTACTATATTTTTTTTAAAGTACTTATATCAGTTGTTTAGTACCCATAACACAAGCTCTGCTCACCGTGGGACTAGATGGCGCTGTGTTAATTGTCCAGAGTACTTTAATGTGTGGTGAGCTCTCGGTCTATGTGTATTATTCACTGCGCTAATTACGATCTGTACCGAACATGATTCACACATCTATGTGATGTGTTACTCACACACACATAAACATATCACCTATGATTAATGAGTATTGAATTTAAAAACATATGTACATTAACAGGTCTTCGTCCTTTCTGTCTATTGTTATAAATCCGAGAAGCCCCACTGACCCCGTTCGAATGGAATACTTAATTTTATTGTTTATTAGCCATCGGAATGTTCCTTGTTCATTAAAATACGATATATAAATTTAATATTGTAATGGGTGAAAACTGTGATCGGTACAGCCTATGCTGTAAATAATATAATTGACGTTGTGGAATAACCTGAAACAAACATGCTCGCTGTAAAGTTCAAACTTGTGGCGGCGTGTTGGGCCGGCTCGATGTGCCCCCTCAAATATGGTTGAGTGCAATGATGGCTGGCTCATATAAAAATACATTGTAAATAAACTGGCTTTAAAAAAAAAAGTAATTCTATTGAGTTTCTTGTGGGGACTGGTCTGATCTATATCGAACTGGTTGTGAACATTATGATTAAATTTTTTGACGTTCATAAGCGGCTAAAATGTCGATAGCATATGAATAACTCTGTTCTCTTTTTGAATTTTAATGACTGTGTATTATTATAAACATGTTTCACTATTATTTGTTTGAGTTTCTGGTCAGTTCTTCTCATCTCGATATCATTCCGAACTGACCGTAGATTTGACATATCATAAGAGTCTGTAATAGACCTACATGAATAAAGATTTTTTTTAATTTGAATTTGAATATGATATCGAAATTTTCAAGAAAAGGGCTCATTCCTTGTATAAAAGGCCCACTTGTAATTTCCCTGGTATTGCGCTATACTATGAAAACAAACCAACAGTAAAATGTCTTTATATTTAGACTAGCTGTTCCCGCGACTTCGTCCGCGTGGAATTTAACTTTATTTTTCTAAAATAAGTAGCCTAAGTTACTCCTTATTACATCAGCTACCTGCCCAAAAAAGCCCCATCAAAATCGGTTCAGCCATTTCAGAGATTGCCCCGGAACAGACGGATAGACAAAAATGGTAAAAAATGTTATTTTGGTGTATGTACCGTATTTATATTAATATGCATGTAGTAAAACACGGTTATTTCAATATTACAAACAGACACTCCAATTTCATTGATATGTATAGATTACGAAGGAAGTATAGATTACTTCTAAAAGGTAGCCCACAATATAGATGGTTAGGAAAAATAAGGGCCAGTTATATTGTAGTTAAATATTAGTATCTTTTTGTTTCCAAATACTGTATAATATCAATATATAGTCAATCTGTTTGCCATTTCAGTAAAAAAATAACGTATTATTGTTTATGGTCAGTGGTTAGACGAGCACCAGTTCCTCGAGTGCCTGATCCACATAGTCTGCGGGACGTACGTGCCAGAGGAAATCGACCGGGGCGAGGAGAAGGGTGAGCGGGACGCCAGCGAGAAGACCGAGGTCTCCAACCACGCGGAGAACACGCAGCAGGAGGTAGACAGCAATCGTGATCAAGGTATGAGATATCTGTTCATCATCTCAGCTCGGAAGACGTCCACTGCTGGTCAAAGGCCTCCCCCAAAGATCTCCACGACGATCGGTCTTGCACTGCTCGCATCCAATGCCTTCCAGAGATCTTGACCAGATCGTCGGTCCACTTTGCTGGAGGCCTTCTCACGCTGTGTCTTCCGGTCCGTGGTCGCTCCTCGAGGACTATATTCCCCAAACGAGATATCTGTTAATATAAAAATCAGTTATTCATGTACGACATTTTAGCCGCATATGAACGTCAAATTTTTTATATTATAATTTTTCCCTACCGTCCAGTTCAGTATATAGATCCAATTTAGAAGAACTGGCAAGAAACTCAATTGAATTACTTGTTTTTTAAAGCCAGTTTATTTACAATGTATATTTATATAGGTGTCTATGTCTAACATTAAATGAAAATCCAGTGCATGAACAACTATTGCCATGCACACTCGTCATTCAAGTAATCGTTTAGTGTGTAATAGGTTTTGCTCAGTAAATATGATTTAACAGATATTTTGAATTTATTAAAGTGTAATTCCAGTATATCCTTTGGTATCTTATTGTAATTTTTTTTATTCCCATAAAAGACCTATTAATAATAATGGTAATAATAATGTATTTGTTCAAAAACAGTACAAAAGATGATAATTAAAACATAGTGTTATGTGTTTTGCCGTAGTAATGGCATGCAAAATAATTTTGTTTAAAAATTATACATAATTAACATATACAGAGAGGAATAATAATAATAATAATAATAATAATAATACTGATTGAACCGATGGATGAAGCTAGCACCTACAAGTACCTAGGATTTCATCAATCCAGACAAATTCATCAAAAAATAACTAAAATTGATCTGAAAAATAAATTTAAATACCGCCTTAACTTAATACTAAAAACTCAACTCAACTCCAGAAACACCATAAAAGCCATCAATACCTTTGCTATCCCAATACTTACATATTCGTTCGGGATTATAAATTGGTCACAAACAGATTTAAAAACCTTACAACGCATTTTAAGTACCCACCTTACTAAACACAGAAAACACCACCCCAAATCATGTATTCAGAGACTTTCACTACCACGACATGAAGGAGGAAGAGGATTAATAGATATACAAAATCTACACAACAAACAGATAACTGCACTCAGACACTACTTTCACACTAAATCACAAGAGTCAATTGTTCATAGATATGCCACAGAAATGGATAAAAAACTCACTCCACTCAATCTGCACAGCAGACAGACTCAGAATAATGAACAACTCAACAATATACAGCAGAAAATTGCAGCATGGGCCGTAAAGTCATTGCATGGGAGATATCGAACCTACCTTTGTGAGCCTCACGTCGACAAACATAAATCGAACGAATGGCTAAGGAGAGGTGAACTATTTCCTGAGACTGAAGGTTTCATGCTTGCAATACAAGATGAAGTAATACCAACCCGTAATTACAGAAAACATATTATACGAGACCCTAATCAATCTAATGACACATGCAGACAATGCAACAGTGCAACTGAAACTATTCAACATATAACCGGGTCTTGCAAAAATATTGCTCAAACTGATTATAAACACAGGCACGACCAAATAGCTTCCATAATTCATCAAGAACTAGCCCACAGATATCAGTTTATACAAAGTAAACAGCCTTACTATAAATACAGACCCGAAACCGTTCTAGAAAATCACAATTGTAAACTATACTGGGATAGGACCATTCTCACAGACAAGACAGTACACTTCAATAGGCCAGATATCACATTACATGACAAAAACTCTAACACAGTATATCTTATAGATATAGCTGTACCTAACACACACAACATACAATCTACCATTTCAGATAAAGTCTCAAAATATCAGGATCTTGCAATAGAGGTAAGAACACAATGGCGAGCTGATACTGTACACACTGTACCCATTGTACTTTCCTCTACCGGTATTGTACCCAAAACACTTCAAAATAGTCTGCAAACATTAAACATTCATCCATCCAAAACATATCTCCTACAGAAAGCCACAATATTAAATACCTGTCGCATAACCCGAAAATTCTTATCCTCCTCAACAATATCTTCACCCAGCACAACCTCTCCCACACTTGGCTAAGGCCCGTGTAGGTAGTATTACCTTCTTTTAAATCCATAAAAGAAGAGAAAAAAAGAATAATAATAATAATAATAGTCACAGTCAATGAAAAACTAACAAAGTACACAGATCTAGCAATAGAATTAAAAAAACAATGGAAAGCACACACCATCCACATAGTACCCATAGTTTTGTCATCCACAGGAGTTATACCAAAAAGTCTGAACAAACACCTAGACACGTTGCACATCCCCTCCTCTACAATAGACCTATTACAAAAAGCCGTCATACTAAACACATGCCGAATAGTCAGAAAATTTCTATCTTCATCACATAACTCATCCATGCTTGGCTAAGGCCCGCGTGTTTGACTATATTACCCCCGTAAAAAGGGAGATATAATAAATATATATATATGTAATAATAATAATAATAATAACTTCAAAATAAATGTTTGCAGACACATTAAACATTCATCCATCCAAAACATATCTCCTACAGAAAGCCACAATATTAAATACCTGTCGCATAACCAGAAAATTCTTAACCTCCTCAACAATATCTTCACCCAGCACAACCTCTCCCACACTTGGCTAAGGCCCGTGTAGGTGAGTATTACCTTCTTTTAAATGTATAAAAGAAGAGAAAAAAAAAGGAAAAAAAGGAAAATAATAGGATCTCTCCAGTCAATAATTATATATTGTCAAATAAATCATTTAAACGGTAAAATTCCTTAATCTGAACCATTCTCGAAATGTCTTCTTCATTATCATTACATAGTATATAACAAAGTCGCTGTCGCTGTCCGTCCGTCCTTATGTATGCTTAAATCTTTAAAACTACACACGAATTTTGAAGCGGTTTTTTTTAATAGATAGAGTGATTCAAGAGGAAGATTTATATATATAATACATGTACACCCGTGCGCAGCCGGGGCGAGTAGCTAGTAAATAATATTTTATTCATCTCCAGTGTCTCAGGAATACAATTATATATTCTTATACACATATTTTCACAGTTTTTATGTGTAGTGTATCATTGTATTGTCTTTTTTAAAAGATACTTAATATTTACATAAGTTGCCTAACGTGTAGATACACGTAGCTTTCGGTGCTGCTAGTCATTTCAGCACTAACCGGAAAGACCGCGCTCGCTGATATTGAGTGCATGATTGAAGGTGCGTGTTTTGATGCTTCCTTTAATTATTACCATTGAAAAATGGCTGATATTTCACTAAGGAGTAAATGTCCGTCAAAAACAAAGACGGGTAAACAGTTTTACTAATGTGATGTACAACATATATTTGAAAAGAATACGAGCTGAGTTTCTTGTCAGTTCTTCTCATTTCGAAATCATTCCGAACTGACGGTAGATTTGACATATCATAAGAGTCTGTAATAGACCTACATGAATAAAGATATTTCGAATTTGAATTAAATTAAATTTGAATTAATTGTACAGTTATGAGTCTTATATTATTATATTAAATATATATACATCTATAGTAATGCACCGTATTTCTATAGATTATTGTACATATATAAAAAAAAAAACGTCTATTTAAAAGAGCAACACACAAGTTTCTTGCTCATTCTTTTTGTGATGAATCTGCATTCCGAATGAGTAGTAGAATCAAAATATGAATAATGCTCGTACAGAGTTTAATTGAATAAACATTATTTGTAGTACGCGTTATACACGCGGTTGGTACTGTTCTGTACAGACTCGAATAGCAACGGCACGGCTGGCTCGGAGCGGCCCCCGGGCGGGGGCCGGGGCCGGGGCCGGGGCGGGGGCGCGGGCGGCGGTGGCGGCGGCCAACGCGGCGGCGCTGCTGTGCGAGGTGGTGGTGTCGGGGTGCGCGGCGGAGGCGGGCGGTGCGGGCGGTCGCGGTGCGGCGCCGCGCTGGCGGCCAGGCTGCGCGGCGGCGGCAGGGTGCGGCTGCTGCTGCAGGCCATGTTCACCAGCCCGCCGCCCGCCAGGGACAGGGCGCTCGTGCACGGCTGCAGGCTGCTGCTCGCGCTCCTGCACACCGACCACCATCTGTCAGTACCGCGCATGTCGCGCTACATATTATGTGTTGGCGTTCCTATATCAGTTTACTCCGATCTTCAGTTCATACTTTCAATATAGAGATCGATGATCGATAATGATGATGATGATGAATAGATAATCTATATGTATAGTATAAACGGTTTATTTGTTTGAATGTTTGTCTCTTATATATATTAAAAAGAAGAAAGAAAAACATTTATATGTATATATAGATACTAGCTGTCCCGGCAAATGTTGTTTTGCCTTAAAATAAAAAAAAAATTTAGGGTTGGACTACCCCTAACATTTAGGGGGATGAAAAATAGATGTTGACCGATTCTCAGACCTACTCAATACACATACGCTCACAAAATTTCATGAGAATCGGTCAAGCCGTTTTGGAGAAGTATGGGAACGAAAACTGTGACACGAGAATTTTGTATATAAGATATATGCACACACACACTCATATACATACATATATTTACACATACATACATACATACATACACACAGAACAATTAGAATAAAAAAATTACTACAAAATATATTGAAATATTTATAGAAAATCTGTATGTATAGTCTAGTATGAACAATTATTTGTTTCTTACATTTTTTTGTATCTAACTCGGGAGTTAAAAAAAACCGAAATTATTTTAATATATTTAATTAAAAATAAAATATTGCAAATTAAAATATAACTACAACTATATTCAGATGAAGTTGGTACCGAATTGAATTGAATTCACAAAGATTGAGCCGCGGAAACATTACACTACGGTGTCTAGTCAACAGTTGCCTAGCGCGGTGGCGCAACGAAGATATGGAGCGCTGACTCGTCATTTCCGATGTACGGGCACAAAGTACAAGGCCGTGCTCCTCATCAGCAATTTCCTTATTAGCATCAGCTATAATAATCTATTTGTTAGAATGTTTATTTGTATTTAAATATTTATTTTGTTATTTAGTATGTAAATAACAAAATATGATATAGTATGAATTTATTATTCATAAAATAGTAAGTTTGAAACGAAATTTTGCAGTGATAGTTATTTTGAATCATTATTATTAATTACTTTACTGTAAATACGAGAGTAAAATCACATCATGACACTTCAGAATTGCTAGCATCTTTACACAAACTAATGATTGATACTTTCATCAAATGACCAGACTTCTCTCTGTTCCCCGCCCGCAGGGGGGGCGAGGACGAGGCGGCGTGCGAGGAGTCGCGGCGTGGAGTGGAGGCCGCGCTGGCGCCGCACCTGCCGCTGCTGCACCAGGCGCTGCTGCAGGAGCCGGCGGGGCCCCCGGGCGCGGCGCCCCCCGGGGCCCCGGGCGCGGGCCCCCCCGGGGCCCCGGGCGCGGGCCGGGCGCGGCCCGTGGGGCTGGCGCGCGTGCAGGCGGCGGCGCTGCTGGCGCACCTGGTGCTCTCCGACGTGGCCGACGTGCACACCGCCCTGCTCACGCTCGGTGAGTGCTCCTCCTCCCGTCCCCCGGGGCCCCGGGTCCCCCGTGGGGCTGGCGCGCGTGCAGGCGGCGGCGCTGCTGGCGCACCTGGTGCTCTCCGACGTGGCCGACGTGCACACCGCCCTGCTCACGCTCGGTGAGTGCTCCTCCTCCCGTCCCCCCGGGGCCCCGGGTCCCCCGTGGGGCTGGCGCGCGTGCAGGCGGCGGCGCTGCTGGCGCACCTGGTGCTCTCCGACGTGGCCGACGTGCACACCGCCCTGCTCACGCTCGGTGAGTGCTCCTCCTCCCGTCCCCCCGGGGCCCCGGGTCCCCCGTGGGGCTGGCGCGCGTGCAGGCGGCGGCGCTGCTGGCGCACCTGGTGCTCTCCGACGTGGCCGACGTGCACACCGCCCTGCTCACGCTCGGTGAGTGCTCCTCCTCCCGTCCCCCCGGGGCCCCGGGTCCCCCGTGGGGCTGGCGCGCGTGCAGGCGGCGGCGCTGCTGGCGCACCTGGTGCTCTCCGACGTGGCCGACGTGCACACCGCCCTGCTCACGCTCGGTGAGTGCTCCTCCTCCCGTCCCCCCGGGGCCCCGGGTCCCCCGTGGGGCTGGCGCGCGTGCAGGCGGCGGCGCTGCTGGCGCACCTGGTGCTCTCCGACGTGGCCGACGTGCACACCGCCCTGCTCACGCTCGGTGAGTGCTCCTCCTCCCGTCCCCCCGGGGCCCCGGGTCCCCCGTGGGGCTGGCGCGCGTGCAGGCGGCGGCGCTGCTGGCGCACCTGGTGCTCTCCGACGTGGCCGACGTGCACACCGCCCTGCTCACGCTCGGTGAGTGCTCCTCCTCCCGTCCCCCCGGGGCCCCGGGTCCCCCGTGGGGCTGGCGCGCGTGCAGGCGGCGGCGCTGCTGGCGCACCTGGTGCTCTCCGACGTGGCCGACGTGCACACCGCCCTGCTCACGCTCGGTGAGTGCTCCTCCTCCCGTCCCCCCGGGGCCCCGGGTCCCCCGTGGGGCTGGCGCGCGTGCAGGCGGCGGCGCTGCTGGCGCACCTGGTGCTCTCCGACGTGGCCGACGTGCACACCGCCCTGCTCACGCTCGGTGAGTGCTCCTCCTCCCGTCCCCCGGGGCCCCGGGTCCCCCGTGGGGCTGGCGCGCGTGCAGGCGGCGGCGCTGCTGGCGCACCTGGTGCTCTCCGACGTGGCCGAACGTGCACACCGCCCTGCTCACGCTCGGTGAGTGCTCCTCCTCCCGTCCCCCCGGGGCCCCGGGTCCCCCGTGGGGCTGGCGCGCGTGCAGGCGGCGGCGCTGCTGGCGCACCTGGTGCTCTCCGACGTGGCCGACGTGCACACCGCCCTGCTCACGCTCGGTGAGTGCTCCTCCTCCCGTCCCCCCGGGGCCCCGGGTCCCCCGTGGGGCTGGCGCGCGTGCAGGCGGCGGCGCTGCTGGCGCACCTGGTGCTCTCCGACGTGGCCGACGTGCACACCGCCCTGCTCACGCTCGGTGAGTGCTCCTCCTCCCGTCCCCCCGGGGCCCCGGGTCCCCCGTGGGGCTGGCGCGCGTGCAGGCGGCGGCGCTGCTGGCGCACCTGGTGCTCTCCGACGTGGCCGACGTGCACACCGCCCTGCTCACGCTCGGTGAGTGCTCCTCCTCCCGTCCCCCGGGGCCCCGGGTCCCCGTGGGGCTGGCGCGCGTGCAGGCGGCGGCGCTGCTGGCGCACCTGGTGCTCTCCGACGTGGCCGACGTGCACACCGCCCTGCTCACGCTCGGTGAGTGCTCCTCCTCCCGTCCCCCCGGGGCCCCGGGTCCCCCGTGGGGCTGGCGCGCGTGCAGGCGGCGGCGCTGCTGGCGCACCTGGTGCTCTCCGACGTGGCCGACGTGCACACCGCCCTGCTCACGCTCGGTGAGTGCTCCTCCTCCCGTCCCCCCGGGGCCCCGGGTCCCCCGTGGGGCTGGCGCGCGTGCAGGCGGCGGCGCTGCTGGCGCACCTGGTGCTCTCCGACGTGGCCGACGTGCACACCGCCCTGCTCACGCTCGGTGAGTGCTCCTCCTCCCGTCCCCCCGGGGCCCCGGGTCCCCCGTGGGGCTGGCGCGCGTGCAGGCGGCGGCGCTGCTGGCGCACCTGGTGCTCTCCGACGTGGCCGACGTGCACACCGCCCTGCTCACGCTCGGTGAGTGCTCCTCCTCCCGTCCCCCCGGGGCCCCGGGTCCCCCGTGGGGCTGGCGCGCGTGCAGATACACCGCCTAGATATGATAATAATGTTTTTGGTGATGACGATGACGTTTATGATGATGATGATGATGATGATGCTCGTTACAGGCACGGCGGGCGTGCTGGTGGACATGTTCTTCTCGTACCCACAAAACAACTTCCTGCACGCGCAGGTGTTCGCGCTGGTGGCCAACGCGCTCGCAAACGAGCCCTACAGAGACAGCTACATGAAACATGTCAGTACAAGTATTACAACACAAGTACTCACTAGAAATATCTCATACTACAAGTACGTGCTCATAGTACAATTAGAATAAAACAACATGTATCATATCACATAATTATGACAATACAGCAATGATGATGCTGATAGCAGCACGTAAATTATTATATCACTTAAATTATAATAAAAAATGTAAAAAATAAATCAAAATACTATCTATACATACAAATAAAATTGGAGTGTCTGTTTGTAATATTGAAATAACTTTTTTTTACTATTTACATAGATATGAATATAAATAAGTACCCTACATACACCAAAATATTTTCTTTTACAATTTTTGTCTGTCAATCTGTCGGTCTGTTTGTTCCGGTTAATCACTGAAATCTCTGAAAGACCAATTTTGACGGGACTTTTTTTGGAAGGTAGCTGATGTAATAAAAAGTAACTTAGGCTACTTTTATCTTAGAAAATTTCTCATATTTTAGAAAAAATGAAGTTAAATTCCACGCGGACGATGCTTCGACAATTCACATAGCGCCATCTAGTCCCAAGCTAAGCAAAGCTTCTGTTATGGGTGCTAGACAACTGATATAAATACATAGATATATTTTTGTAAATACCTATGTAATATATATAGAAAAACCCAACTGACCCAAACATCAGACTCATAAATGCAAATGTTTGCGCTGTGCGAGGAATCGAACCCGCAACCAACAGAAGTAAAGCCGTGTGCTTCCGCGATCGATGCCGACATTTGGGTATAGATTATATAAAAAAGAAGTAAAAATGTAATGGTATCTTAATTAAAATATAATTTATTTCCAGCTCCTAGTTGAGTGTGATCTGTTAAATCGACTGATGGATTTGTTTGAAGAGAAGAAAACTGACGCGGATCAGTGAGTATTAAAATGTTGTATGTTTTATGAGACACCGATCTAATTAATATATTTGTATGAGCTAGCATCGTACATTATTTCGCAACATTAACATTTTATTTTACATTTCACATTTCATTAAAATCAGTTCGCACTCGGTCATCAAGGACGCCGCGCGTACTCATTACAGTCATTAATCAGTTATATTTTAAGTTTCAATATACAGTTTTAATCAAGTTTCTATCAGTATCATTTATCAGTTTTACCTATCAGAATCTTTATAGTTTCGGTACAACCCGAACAATATTTGAAAGCATATTTTTCTTCGGTCTATTCTAATGCTGTTGGCCGCATCTGGCCGTTACAGCTTCATCGGGGCACTACAAATCAACGGAAGCATTTTTTTTATACTACTCTAGTGGTAAACAAGCATACGACCCATCTGATGGTAAATGTTTACCGTAGCCTACTGACTTCCTTACGTGCGCGTTGCCGACCCTTAAGAAACCTTAATACACCCTTCTTGAAAAACCCCATGGAGCGGCTGACGGCCAGACTGATGGATACGACTAGTCTGAGGGCACTGAGCTACTAAGCGGTAGAATAAAAATATTACTATTCAAAAGTGCTTATATTAAGTTTATTTGAATTAAATTAAAAAATGTTTGTATTGTACACGTGCTAGAGAGTGTGTAATGTAGCGAGCGGTGTGTGGTGCCGCAGGGTGCGAGCCGCCAACACGGGGTACGCACTGCTGGCGCTGGAGAGGGTGGAGCGAGCCCTGCAGGCCGCCGGGCCCCGGGCGGAGGCCGAGCTGCTGCGGGAGCCCCGGGCGCTCCGCTGGCGGACCTTCCGCGACGAGCTGCTGCGGCCCCTGCTGCTGCAGCGAGACACGCCGCTCGTACGTACTGCACACTCACCGCCGGGCCCCGGGCGGAGGCCGAGCTGCTGCGGGAGCCCCGGGCGCTCCGCTGGCGGACCTTCCGCGACGAGCTGCTGCGGCCCCTGCTGCTGCAGCGAGACACGCCGCTCGTACGTACTGCACACTCACCGCCGGGCCCCGGGCGGAGGCCGAGCTGCTGCGGGAGCCCCGGGCGCTCCGCTGGCGGACCTTCCGCGACGAGCTGCTGCGGCCCCTGCTGCTGCAGCGAGACACGCCGCTCGTACGTACTGCACACTCACCGCCGGGCCCCGGGCGGAAGCTGCTGCGGGAGCCCCGGGCGCTCCGCTGGCGGACCTTCCGCGACGAGCTGCTGCGGCCCCTGCTGCTGCAGCGAGACACGCCGCTCGTACGTACTGCACACTCACCGCCGGGCCCCGGGCGGAGGCCGAGCTGCTGCGGGAGCCCCGGGCGCTCCGCTGGCGGACCTTCCGCGACGAGCTGCTGCGGCCCCTGCTGCTGCAGCGAGACACGCCGCTCGTACGTACTGCACACTCACCGCCGGGCCCCGGGCGGAGGCCGAGCTGCTGCGGGAGCCCCGGGCGCTCCGCTGGCGGACCTTCCGCGACGAGCTGCTGCGGCCCCTGCTGCTGCAGCGAGACACGCCGCTCGTACGTACTGCACACTCACCGCCGGGCCCCGGGCGGAGGCCGAGCTGCTGCGGGAGCCCCGGGCGCTCCGCTGGCGGACCTTCCGCGACGAGCTGCTGCGGCCCCTGCTGCTGCAGCGAGACACGCCGCTCGTACGTACTGCACACTCACCGCCGGGCCCCGGGCGGAGGCCGAGCTGCTGCGGGAGCCCCGGGCGCTCCGCTGGCGGACCTTCCGCGACGAGCTGCTGCGGCCCCTGCTGCTGCAGCGAGACACGCCGCTCGTACGTACTGCACACTCACCGCCGGGCCCCGGGCGGAGGCCGAGCTGCTGCGGGAGCCCCGGGCGCTCCGCTGGCGGACCTTCCGCGACGAGCTGCTGCGGCCCCTGCTGCTGCAGCGAGACACGCCGCTCGTACGTACTGCACACTCACCGCCGGGCCCCGGGCGGAGGCCGAGCTGCTGCGGGAGCCCCGGGCGCTCCGCTGGCGGACCTTCCGCGACGAGCTGCTGCGGCCCCTGCTGCTGCAGCGAGACACGCCGCTCGTACGTACTGCACACTCACCGCCGGGCCCCGGGCGGAGGCCGAGCTGCTGCGGGAGCCCCGGGCGCTCCGCTGGCGGACCTTCCGCGACGAGCTGCTGCGGCCCCTGCTGCTGCAGCGAGACACGCCGCTCGTACGTACTGCACACTCACCGCCGGGCCCCGGGCGGAGGCCGAGCTGCTGCGGGAGCCCCGGGCGCTCCGCTGGCGGACCTTCCGCGACGAGCTGCTGCGGCCCCTGCTGCTGCAGCGAGACACGCCGCTCGTACGTACTGCACACTCACCGCCGGGCCCCGGGCGGAGGCCGAGCTGCTGCGGGAGCCCCGGGCGCTCCGCTGGCGGACCTTCCGCGACGAGCTGCTGCGGCCCCTGCTGCTGCAGCGAGACACGCCGCTCGTACGTACTGCACACTCACCGCCGGGCCCCGGGCGGAGGCCGAGCTGCTGCGGGAGCCCCGGGCGCTCCGCTGGCGGACCTTCCGCGACGAGCTGCTGCGGCCCCTGCTGCTGCAGCGAGACACGCCGCTCGTACGTACTGCACACTCACCGCCGGGCCCCGGGCGGAGGCCGAGCTGCTGCGGGAGCCCCGGGCGCTCCGCTGGCGGACCTTCCGCGACGAGCTGCTGCGGCCCCTGCTGCTGCAGCGAGACACGCCGCTCGTACGTACTGCACACTCACCGCCGGGCCCCGGGCGGAGGCCGAGCTGCTGCGGGAGCCCCGGGCGCTCCGCTGGCGGACCTTCCGCGACGAGCTGCTGCGGCCCCTGCTGCTGCAGCGAGACACGCCGCTCGTACGTACTGCACACTCACCGCCGGGCCCCGGGCGGAGGCCGAGCTGCTGCGGGAGCCCCGGGCGCTCCGCTGGCGGACCTTCCGCGACGAGCTGCTGCGGCCCCTGCTGCTGCAGCGAGACACGCCGCTCGTACGTACTGCACACTCACCGCCGGGCCCCGGGCGGAGGCCGAGCTGCTGCTGGAGCGTGAAAGGACGTCGTCGTGTAGTAGCAGCCGTTGATTAAAAATATAATCCCCGAGTCACTGATACTTAAAAGACAATACACACATTAATACATGTATTTCCTATCACCAGTATTATTCACACCGCTAAATTATTACAATCTCCAGATATATGGACAACCGACAACCTACTTACTAACGTTCGAGTAGGGTTCAACTGATGCGGTTTTATTTAACAAAATCCCTCATCAATCACTATCATTATCACAGATCTGTGGAATTAAACCCCCCCCCACATACTTTGGTCCTTCGAGCCGGATTAACACAACAGACAAACCCAATTCAGATGATCAATGTAATGTATTTTAAATTAATTTAAGATAAGTCAATCATCATCTGCTTCTTCCTTATCCCATTTATTTGTGGTCGGCGTAATATGTTTTTCGCTTCCATTCATCCCTGTTCGCAGTCATCTCGTTATTTACCATATAATCTTTCACACAGTCCATCCATCTCTTTTTCGGCCTTCCTCTGTCCTTATAACCATCCACATTCATATGTAACACCTTTCTTAAAATATTATCCTCATTCCTACGCATTACAAGTCCATACCATGATAGACGATTACTCTTCAACCTCTCTAACTATAATCGTAGTCAATACCAAGGTATATAAAAAGACTATTAATGATTATAAATCGAGAACTATTGGGCGGCACATCTCTCAATAGTTCTCGATTATATATATCTCGATAGACTTTAACGTTGAAGTTGTAATGGTCAAATGAGTCAATTGAGTCAAATGAGGCAACCATTAATCCATGACCATAAATTACCTGTGCCAAGTGTTCACTGGTCTTTATAATTGTTCTGAAGCTAGTGTACATAACATTACAACAAGAATTAAATAACATTTTTTTTTATTTCATCTTCCAGGGCGGATGTCACCCGTCGGAAAATATATACGAGGTAAGAATGTCCAACACATATATTTATTTATTTATTTACTAAAGGAAAACCAAGGCTATTTAAGTATATCTTAAATAAAATCAATATAGACGTCATACTAAACCACTGACAGATTTCCATTAATAACAACAGACAATTCTAAAAAAATTCGTATAAAGGCAATAACACATTATAAAGTTAACAGAGAATATGAAATTAATTAACGAGAGTACAGTAACAAATAGTGAATTTATACAAATATATACATATACATGATCTTCAATAATAATTTAAATAATAGAATTATTTTTATACAAATATAGTAACTCATTTACGATTTACAATAGTTATTTTACATACACTTTGTACTTACTATAGCTATGAAAATCAGTGTTTACTCGTTGGGAAAAAGAAACACTCGTATATCTGCACTGGCGCAGCAAAAACAGTTACGTACACTCGTGTGTTATCAGATAACACTATGGCTTACAGTTTTTTTCTTACCGGTTAGTTATATATGTAAAGTCTACCTTTGTATGTGTTTTTTTTACTATATGTGTACTAAAAGTGCAAATAAATGATTCATCTATTTATTTTTACATATCGTTAAGACACAACCGCGTTACTATATATTTATTTCATTGGCTCAGAGATAATACGACCGTAATTACTTGTATTTTGTATGTTCGTCCTCTGGATAAAATCTGTCTTCATGTCAAATTTCATTAATATTCGTTTAGGCATTTAGCTGTCGAAAGGCAAGAGCAGACGGACATAAACTCTGATTAGAATTAGACTAGAGACTACGATTGATAACCCTATTCAATTAAAACAGAGATCTAAACTACGACGGCCTGAGCCGAGGTTCGAACCCCTAGTGGTGCCCTCAGACTAAAGTCGTATCCGTCAGGCGGGAGTTGGCCTTCAGCCGCTCCATAAGTCCTTCCGCTAGTTTGTAGCGCCATCTGCACTAGCGTCCTATCGTTCAGTGAAGCTGTAATGGACAGCTGCTGCCACCAGATTAAAAATATTTCGAAAATAAAAAGACATCTTGGTCCTCTGTAATGGTACCGCATGAGTGGTGTGCAAACGTAGCGTAGGAGGAGCTAGCATCTAAGTGGAGTGAGGACATAAGTAGGATTGCGGGCAAAAACTGGACGAGAAAAGCTAAAGATCGTGCACAGTGGCATGCGTAGAATGAGGCCTGTGTTCAGCTGTGGACCGCAGTGGGCTGATGTCGATGATGAATGGTGCAAGGAGAGTCACGTGATAATATAAGCTGTTAGCAACCCGACTGAGTCTACATTTTATAATTTCCATCATCCATCTGCACTCTTATTTTAATTCGCTCCATATTTGTTTACGTCAACGACGCCATTTTGTGTTGTATAGGAAGACAACATGGCCGACCCGCTGATGGCCGGATATGACGTGAGTGCCATTTGTGGCATGTCCCATATTTGCTATAAACATTCAGTTACATTATATACATTTATTTTAACTGCATTACGTGTTATTTTGCAAAAGTCCATTGCATTAGTTTATTGATTAGTATTAATTTGTTTAAAACCGCTATTCGACCGTGGTAGCAATTTACTATTAGACATATTTATTTATTGGTTTGGGATAATAAAACACTAAATAGTTGAGTAAGAATTCTAATATTATAAGTAACTTTCGAGTAATAAAATGCTGCAGAACTACAAAATGAATTTTACAAGATAATGACAGATGGTAAGTAAAAGCGCTGGTGGCGCTCTCACACAGATAAAGTACAAATATAGTATTGAGTAACGTCAGTAAGCAAATAATCACTATGCACAATTCCTTAGTAATATTAATTTATTATCTATTCAATATTTATTTAAAAGAGCAACACACAAGTTTCTTGCTCATTCTTCTTGTGATGAGTCTGCATTCCGAATGAGCGAATTAATGAATTATGTATCCTAATAATAATAATCTCGGGACAATTCACACAGCGCCATCTAGGCCCAAGTTAAGCTAGCTAGAGCTTGTGTTATGGGTACTAGACAACTGATATAAATACATAGACATTTTTTTTCGTCAACTGTTATCGAGTTTTTATTTTTATTATATTTTTTATATATATTTTATTTGTTTTTATTTTGCAACTTGCAATTCATATTTGAAAAACAAATTAATACTAAATCATTAACTAATTATTGGACAATAATTTAAACTAGCAACATTATTAGCTTGAATATCATATACGCAGTTTCCGTGTGTTGTGCCTTTATTGCATGATGAAATAAATAAATAATATGCTTATTTATATATTTAATGTTTTTTGGTAGGTTATATCATACTAGCTACCAGCCCCTGCTTCATAGGGGTGTACAATAGTGTACATGTATCTAAATATATATAACTCAAAGGTGACTGACATAGTGATCTATCAACGCACAGCCCAAACCACTGGACGGATCGGGCTGAAATTTGGCATGCAAGTAGATGTTATGACGTAGGCATCCGCTAAGAAAGGATTTTGATTAATTCTACCCCCAAAGGGATAAAATATGGGATGAAAGTTTGTACGAAACTTTGTCAATTTTAAACCGATCGGGTTGAGACTTTGCATGCATAAAGCTACTATGGCGTAGGCATCCTCTAAGAAAGGATTTTGATAAATTCCACCCCTAAGGGGAGAATATAACGCGAGCGAAGCCGCGGGCAAAAGCTAGTTATACATGTTAAATAATTCTAATAAATCTGCTTACGTCAAATTTGAATGGCCCCTTGGATGTACGATTCCATTTGCCGAGAATGACTGTTGTTTTTTAGTGAGTTTTTGTTTTGCTTGTTTGTGTGTTCAGATTGTGTTATATAGCGGTTGTGATGAGAGTGCATGGCAATAGTTGTTCATGCACGGGATTTTCATTTAATATTAGACATAGACACCTATATAAATATACTTTGTAAATAAACTGACTTTAAAAAATTAAGTAATTCAATTGAGTTTCTTGCCAGTTCTTCTCAATTGGATTTGGATTGGATTCAAATTTTTGAATTTGAATTTATGTTTTTATGGTAATTGTACTGAAGTGGTGTGATTATGGCCATCCACACGTCTTGTTTGTGATTGCAATGTTGTCTGTTTGTTTGTGTGTTCAGAGGTGTTATATAGATGTTGTGTTTTTATGTTAGTTGTATTAAGATGGTGTGATTATGGGCCATCCACACGTCATACCAATTTCAGTAATATTTAACAATAAAACATATTTTCCCCTGCGATCGATCCCCCGTACAATTCAAACGGGGATCGAAATTACGTCGGCCGAGCCCGAGGTTCGAACCCCTAGCGGCGCCTTCAGACTGAAGTCGTATCCTTTAGGCGGGAGTTGGCCATCAGTCGTTTCATAAGTCCTTCCTTGGTTTGGAGTGCCATCTGCACTCGCCCCCTATCATCCGGTGAAGCTGTAAAGATCAGCTGCGGCCAACAGCATTAGAGTAGTCCGAAAAAAATATAATATGTTTTGTGTTGCAGTACAACGACGTGAGCGCTGACGACCACGGCGGGGATATCAACGCCGATATGAATGAGGTACGTATTAATTGTTAATAGTAATAATGGACCCTTGGACCATTTAAGTAATAATGGACCCTTGGATAATTTAAGTAGTATTGGACCCCTGGACCATTTAAGTAATAATGGACCCTTGGACGATTTAAGTAATAATGGACCCTTGGACGATTTAAGTAGTATTGGACCCCTGGACCATTTAAGTAATAATGGACCCTTGGACAATATAAGACCATTTAGTATTGGACCCTTGGACAATTTAAGTAGTATTGGACCCTTGGACAATTTAAGTAATAATGGACCCTTGGACAATTTAAGTAATAATGGACCCTTGGACAATTTAAGTAGTATTGGACCCTTGGACAATTTAAGTAGTATTGGACCCTTGGACAATTTAAGTAGTATTGGACCCCTGGACAATTTAAGTAATAATGGACCCTTGGACAATTTAAGTAGTATTGGACCCTTGGACAATTTAAGTAATAATGGACCCTTGGACGATTTAAGTAATAATGGACTCTTGGATAATTTAAGTAGTATTGGACCCCTGGACCATTTAAGTAATAATGGACCCTTGGACAATTTAAGTAGTATTGGACCCTTGGACAATTTAAGTAATATTGGACCCTTGGACAATATACAAAGTTATCTAGTCCCAAACTAAACAGAACTACGTACGTACATAGTATATATAGAACTTGAACAGACCATTCCCCACAAGCACTGATTAAAATTTTTGCTTTTGCATATGCTGGTGGTTATCATGAATTTAAATACAACATTTATTTGAAAAGAATACGAGCCGAGTTTCTTGTCAGTTCTTCTCATCTAGAAATCATCCGAACTGACGGTCGATTTGACATATCATAAGAGTCTGTAATAGACCTACATGAATAAAGATATTTTGAATTTGAATTTGAATAGAAAACATGCAGACCAACAAACAATTGTACTAACAAATGTTTGTTGAGGAATCGAAGCGAGCATCGGTAATGCGATGTGTTAATCCACTTTACCACCGACGCCGTCATGAATTTTGATTGACTTATTTTTTTTGAATTCGGATTGACTAAGTTTATGTTTTTTTTGTTAGATCAGCTTGTTTAGTTAACAAATTAATTTCTCAACAATAAAGAAAACGACGTTCTCAGTTCTGATTGGTTTGGTTTGTAGGGACTGGTCTGCTCTAATCACTATGACTGATTTCCTCTTATTAATTGTTTAACCAGTTGGTTATATATTCAATATTTTTTCTATTTGATTATTTAATTGAATTAGTGCTAATCGGTAGTTTGTATTCACACAATTAAACTTAAATTGTAAAGTAAGAATAAAATTATTTAAAAGAGCAACACACAAGTTTCTTGCTCGTTCTTCTTGTACTGAGACAACTTTCCGAATGTAAATAGATTAAAAAAAATGTAATGACTATTCAAAAGTACTTTAATGTAAGTTTATTTGAATAAATGATAAAAAAAAAAAAATATTGTAAAACATCTATGTCAATGAAATAAATTATTATTATTATTATTATTATTATTATAAAGAGCTAGAAAAATGGTTAATTATAGAGAGTGTGACTGGAGCGAGTTTTTGATAAAATATGTGTGCGTAGTACTGCGCGGACGTGTGCGTGGGGGGCGGCGACGAGGGAGCTGCGAGGGGGGCGGAGGCCGAGCTAGCCGACCACGAGGTAGGACCGCTTATACTGTCTACTATGTACCAGGGATGTTAGGGAGCTCCGTAACCGTAACCGTAACCGAAACTATCGGATATCCGGAAAAAAAATATTCGTTTCGGATAATATCGGATAGGGGCGGCGCCTAATTGTGACACGTTATGTAACCATTTTATTAGCTATATTTGTATTTTACGTTTGAAATTCCATAAAAAGTTAATATTCGTAATTGAAATTATCCGAAACTAACACATCCGTATCCGGTATAATCATTACTATATCCGAAACCTATCCGTATCCGAAATTTCATATCCATAACATCCTTGCTATGCACTTGTCTAGTTTTTATAAGACAAAAATCTTTTATGCAATTTACTTATTTACTGGCGCTTTTGAAAGATTATTTATCACTAGATTCGCCCGCGTAAAATGTCGATACTTACATATTACTTTTCATCTCCTCTTTCAACCCCTTATAACCCTTTTTTCGTATTAAAAAGTAGCCTATGTCCTTTCTTAGGTTCTAGACTATATGTGTACCAATTTTCATTTAAATCGGTTCAATAGTTTTGGAGTGAAAGCGAAATAAACAGACAGACATAGTTACTTTCAGACGTCCAGTACCGGTTACAACTGAATTACAGTTGAGAGGTTCAATGGTTATTGGAAATAGAAAACTAGGTATAAAGTTTTTATGTATATCTTAGCCGAGCAGGAAACGTGACATATTATTTGGGGACCTTTAGGTCCCTAAATCGGGCCAGGGCCTATCCAAGCAATTAGATCTATATTTTTTTATTCCAAGAATGTAATTACTGCTCGCTATATATTTTTTAAACGCTGTGCTATTTTATTTCAAGGACATAATGCGTTTTCTATACGACGACCTCGGTAGTCTAGCGGTCTAGCACACCGCTTGACGACCGATGGTCGCGGGTTCGATTCCTCGCACGGCACAAACATTTGTATGATAGTATGATTGTTTGTATCGGTCTGGGTGTTTTCTATGTATTTACAAAAATAAAATCTATGTATATGTATTAATTATCTAGTACCCATAACACAAGCTGTAGCTAGCCTAACTTGGGTCTAGATGGCGCTGTGTGAATTGTCCTGAGATTATTATTAGTATACTATAAAAGTTCTGTAAATCATTTCAGATGCAAAATGCGAAGAACAGCTTCTTAAAATTGGCGAGTGAACGTTTCGACGCCGAGTAAGTTTTTAAGAGATATATTTTATATTGTTTTCTTTACTCTATGTATGTTATATATTGTCTGTTTGATTATTTATCTGTTTGTATGTTAAAAAGGATCACGTAAATGATGATTTTATTCACAGAACATACTATTAAATGATGGTAATATATAGGGTAACTCGCTGTTCCCGCGACTTCGTCTGTGTGGAGTTTAACTTTATTATTCAAAAATAAAAGATTTTTTCTAAAATAGAAGTAGCTTAAGTTACTCCCTATTATTTCAGCTACCTGCCAAAAAAGTCGCGTCAAAATCGGTCCAGCCATTTCAGAGACTAGCCGGAACAAACAGACAGACAGACAGAGAAAAATATTAAACAATGTTATTTTGGTGTATGTACCGTATTTATATTCATATGCATGTAGTAAAAACGGTTTTTTTAATATTACAAACATTATCATCATCTGCTTCTTCCTTATCCCATTTGTCTGGGGTCGGCGCAATATGTTTTTCTTTATTCTTTTCTTTTTCAAACAGACACTCCAATTTTATTTATATGTATAGATGTATAGATGAAATGGAGAAAAATACTCTTGAAACGGATGAAAGAATTAATATGGTAGTTCAATAACATGTTATCAATATTACACATACTGTTTAATTAATAAATTTAATAATAAAATATATAGATTACATCATTCAGATGTTTTATGCATTGTCGTCGCTTGGGTATACACAATATTTCTTCTTTTTTAATTAATTTTTCAACGTACACGGATATAATGAATGTTGTAGCATGTGGGAGGAGTCCCCCGACGGGGAGGGCGCGGAGGAGGCCGAGGAGGCCGAGGAGGCCGAGGAGGCGGAGGAGGAGCCCCCCGAGGACTGGCCGCTCGACGCCGCCGCCCGCCGCCGCCTGCAGGAGGTGCTCGGGGACGTCGCGCGTACGTACTCATCATAATCAGAACAGTGATACTAAACTTTTACCTTGTTATAACCCTATACTCATTTATAGTATACAGTGGACCCGAGGTAATCCGGCCCCCCTTGTAATCCGACATTGTCTATTATTTGTTATTGAATATTACTTTGACAATATACTTCAGAGTGCATATACATACATATATAACATAGAATCTTATCACTGGATCTGTAATTTGTCGGATTACAAGATACTCTTTTGTAAAAAATTCCGGACTATAAGCAGAGGACCCTTAAGCAGCACTCTATAATCCGACAAATACGATGGTCCGACACTGCCCTGCAAAACGTTTGTCGGATAACCGGGGGTCCACTGTATATGTATATAATACAAAGAATCATCACTGGATCTATAATTTGTCGGATTACAAGGTACTCTTTTGTAAAAAAATTCGGACTATAAGGGGTCTTAGGCAGTACTCTATAATCCGACAAATTCGATAGTCCGACACTGCCCTGCAAAATGATTGTCGGACTACCGGGGGTCCACTGTATATACAAATTTGACATATTTGATATTACTAGGTTTTGGAATTTTTTAAATAGGGTTGAGGCATCATCTGACATTAATATTAATTACTCATTTTTATAGATAACTAACTACTCGTCCCGGCTTCGCCCGGGTGTACATGTATTATATATAGAAATCTTCATCTAGAATTACTAAATATTAAAAGAAACTTCAAAATCCGTTGCGTAGTTTTAAAGATTAAAGCATACAAAGGGACGTACAGACAGCGACAGTGATGTTGTAATGATTAAAAAATAATGTATGGATGTTTATTTAGAACGTATTAATACAAAATTAATAAAGTATGGTTATATTTATATATCAATATATAAGAGTGCAGACTTCAAACAAATAATTCCGTAAGTCCTTTTTATCTGTGCTTGAACAATCAATATAAGCTGAGTCGTGGTCCACATTGACTCTGTTTTTTTATGTGTAAATTATTCTAGTACATCTTATGTTACTACTGTACAAAACGAGTTAATAAATTCTATTCTATTCTATAATACAGTCCACTAAGATTTATCACCGCAAAGTGTCGTCGTAAAATCGATCAATATGATGTAAACACTAGCTTAAGATTAACAAAGCACTCGTGTGGCAGCGTGGGAGAGCGCCCCCGAGTCGGAGGGTGCGGAGGGTGCGGGTGGTGGGGGTGGTGCGGGGGAGGCGGGGGGGTGGGCGCGGTTCTCCCCGGCGGCGCCCCCGGCCCCCTGCGACCCCTACTGGCCGCCCGCCGCAGCACGTACGTCACTTACTACTCTATATATAACTGGCTACTCGCCCCGGCTTCGCGCGGGTGTACACGTATTATATATATAAACCTTCCTCTACAATCACTCTATCTATTACAAAAATCGCTTCAAAATCCGTTGCGTCATAAATCTTTAAAACTAGATCTAAGCATACATAGGGATAGACAGCGACAGCGACTTTGTTTTATGCTATGTAATGATTATATTTTCAGGGTTTCTTTATAAAATAAACTAAAAATTGTTTCTGTGTAAACAAAGAAATGTTTTATTTAATTTCAAAACACAACAATTATTTAACACTAAAATACTATATAACTATGTCATAATATATATTACTATATAACTCATCTATAAACAAAGGAACGTTTTATTCATATATACTTGTATAAAAATACATTAAAACAGTAAAAAAAATATTACACACACAACCAAATATTTGACATACACACAGATATAATATACTATTTTGTTTATTCCTAAAGTCTTTCAAATTGAAAATACATTAATATTATTTATTTATAATCTCACTAAATGTTAAATTAATTATGATCGAAACGATGTATATTACAGATGATAATAAACTGACAATATGTACATAGAAATAATGATCTTATATACTAAATAACAATAGGAAAATGTAAGGTGGGGTGACACAGTTTAGACACAGTAGTGCTTAGTACACAATATTGAAATAGAAATAGAAATAGAAATAATCTTTATTCAAATAAACTCATTACAAGCACTTTTGAATAGTCATATTTTGATTCTACCACTCATTCGGAATGCAGATTCATCACAAGAAGAATGAGCAAGAAACTTGTGTGTTGCTCTTTTTGATAGATGTTTTTTTTATATAAATAATTACAGTGTAACAAGTAAGAGGCATGCGACAATCAACATAGAAATCGCTACGCACTCATTATTAGTGTAATCAGATAATATTGTCAGTGCTATGTATTTAAAATTTTTCTACAAAAACATTATTATCGTTAACGAATTCTTCAATTTTATAGTAAGCTTTTTTGCAAAGGAAGTGTTTTATTTGACATTTAAATCTTTTTTCTGGCAGATTTATAACAGACTCTGGTATTTTATTGTAAAACCTTACGCAATTGCCATAAAACGAATTACTAACTTTAGCCAAACGACATTTAGGTAAAATCAGTTTGTTATTGTTACGTAAGCTTTTATTAGTGCAATCACTAACTCTTTTGAAACTGTCTATATTCTTCCTGGCATACATGATGTTTTCATAAATATATTGAGAAGCAACGGTGAGGATATTTGATTCCTTAAAGCACTCTCGCAAAGACTCCCTGGAACCCATGCTATAAATGGAGCGAATGGCCCTCTTTTGTAAAATAAATATTGTATTTATATCAGCTGCTTTGCCCCATAACAAAATACCATACGACATAATGCTATGGAAATAACTAAAGTACACAAGTTTAGCTGTTGCCACGTCTGTTAATTGTCTAATTCTTCTTACCGCATAAGCGGCAGAACTAAGTCGACTCGCTAATTTAGTAATATGGGCACCCCATTGCAACTTGGAATCTAATGTGATACCTAGAAATACAGTATCATCCACAAAATTAATAGGTTTATTGTCCAACATGATTTTTGAATCTACCGGTCTTACATTGGGGAGAGTAAATTTGATACATTTAGTTTTATTTGCATTTAGTAACATATTATTAGCCGTAAACCATTTTAAAACATAAGAAAGAGCACCGTTTACTTCGTCCAAATCATCAATATGTCGATTGACTTTGAATACTAATGAAGTATCATCAGCAAACAGAACTATGTCAGCTATCTTTTCTACCATATAAGGAAGATCATTTATGTAAACTAAAAATAAGAAAGGACCTAAAATAGAGCCCTGAGGAACACCCATTTTAATACTAGTTCCTTCAGACTTTACACCATTTATTTCGATAACTTGCATTCTATTATTTAGATAGGATTTCATCATGCTTTGTGCTTCATATTTAATACCGTAATGTTCAAGTTTGAGCAAAAGTGTTTCATGTTCAACGCAATCAAATGCTTTTGAAAGATCGCAAAATACACCGACTGCATCCTGAGACCTCTCCCAAGAATCAAATATATATTTAATGAGAGCTACACCGGCATCAGTTGTTGATTTACCGGCCGTGAAACCAAATTGTCGACTGTGAAGCAGTTTATTTACTTTAAAGTGTTGTAGCATTTGATTGAGCATAATTTTTTCAAACACTTTACTCAATACTGGTAAGATAGATATAGGCCTATAATTACCTACCACAGTTTTTTCTCCTGACTTAAAGAGTGGAGTTATTTTGCTATGTTTCATTAAATTGGGAAAAACACCGTCAGAAATACATTTATTGAAAATAATTACTAAATATGGAGCAATAACATCTATAGCGGTGTTAATAACTTTAACAGACATGCCCCAATGGTCTTCAGTATTTTTTAAATTTAATTGTTTAAATGTTTTAGTAATTGTAGCAATGTCAATAAATGTAAATTTAAATGTAACCGGACAAGAAACAACATTATCAATAAGGAATGATTTAGCTGTACCAGGAGAAGAGTCCAAAGAGGAAGTAATATCAGTTGGAATATTAGCGAAAAAATTTTCAAAAATATTGACAATTTCTTTTGTGGACGTTACTAGTTTATCATTATAATTTAGCGTAAAATCGTTATATGGACTTTTAACTTTGCCAGTTTCTTTGTTAATAATATTCCACACTGTCCTTATCTTATCCTTGGACTCTTTAATTTTTTTATTTAGATAATTAGACTTTGCTACATTACATACCTTTTTAAAAGTTTTTGAGTATCTTTTTACATAATTTACGAATGTACTATCGAAACGGTATTTTTTTTGAGCATATAAATCAAATAATATATTTCTACTTTTAAGAATTCCCTTTGTAGCCCATTCTGAAAATTTTGTTTTGTTAATAATACTGATAGTTTTTTTGTTAAAAGCCTTATTATATTCGTTAGAAACAATATTGAAGAAATCTGTATAAAGTTTGTTAGGTTCATTAGATGGAAGATAAAAATCTAATTTACTACGAACTGATATTTTAAATTTATTTATCTTATAACTAGTCAAGTCTCTTTTTAATAAATTAATTTTCCCAATTTTGTTTAAGTGATTTGGAAAAATAACTATTTGACCACAGTGATCAGAAGGAAGGTTGTTTATTATTATTTTATCTAAATACTCACTGTTGCTAAATATGTTATCCAAGCAAGTAGCAGACGTGGCAGTGATACGAGTGGGTTCGTGGAAGACATTACTCAAGTCAAAGGATTGAAATAAACTCATTAATTTAGTTTTTGTGGTATTATGTGATAAAATGTCAACATTGAAATCACCACACACTATAATTTTTTTGTTAATATTAAATACTCTTTTTAAAATATCCTCCATTACCTCTTCAAATAAATTATAATCACTATTTGGAGGTCTATAAACACATATAACTATATAATTGTCTAGTTCCACACAGGAAATTTCAATACAACATTCAACAGAAAGATTGCCAATATCACTACGTTCTTTTACTTTTATATTATTTTTCACCAATATCATAGAACCTCCTCTATTTACTATTTTTCTATTAAAGCAGCTGACAATATTATAATTGTTTAAGCTGAACATCATATTGCTCACTTTGAGCCAATGTTCAGTTAAACATAGAACATCTATATTATTTTTTTCTAAAAACAATTGAATTTTAGAAATTGAATTGAATTTGTCTTACTAGACATTCTTAAATGCAATTATTATTTTGATGTATCTAGGTGACTGTGTCCCATAATCGATTTTCTAGGCAATAGTAGTAATTATATAGATAGATAACAATTTTATTTACGATAAATGTAATTAAAAATGATTGAATATTTCTTTCAAATAGAAATAGAAATAATCTTTATTCAAATAAATCTAATATAAGCATTTTTTAATAGTCAAATTTTTGCATGATTGCAGATTCATCACAAGAAGAATGAGCAAGAAACTTGTGTGTTGCTCTTTTAAATGCATATTGCTTTAATTTAATTAAGGCACACACAGACATACAAGGCACAGTAATATTAACAAAAATTAAAAGTCGATACACAATTACATTAGTCAGTCAATATTTAACGTTAATTATAAACGAGCATAAAAATATTGCTATCCTCTACATGTGTTAATGTGGAATTTTTTTTTAAATTACAGAGGAGAGCGCACAGGAGAATATAGAGAGTGGCGTGCACCGACTGCAGCTGGACGAGCAGCTGCAGCCACCGCAGCCGCTGGACGACGCCGGCACCGCCGAGCTGGCCAACCACCTCCTCACCGCCATGAGCGGCATGGCGCCAGACCTCGTCGCCAACATCGTCAACGCCAACACGCCCGTCGATTTCCCCACGGAAGTCGCAGACTCGATCCGACTTCCCGGACCGATCGGAGCCGGTGACAGTGCAGCCAGCGTTCCCGGCACGGCCGGCGACTTCCCCGAGTCCGTCGTCGATCGGACCGGGACCGATCAGGGGCTCCCGGTTCGAGTTCCGGTCGTCGGTAATGTCGAAGCCAATACTGCCGCTAAGGTTTCTAGCGGGAGTACGGAGACTACCGTAGCTGGCGGACTCGAGACTAAAGAGCCGAGCTCGAGTAGTGAACGCAGCAGCAGCGAAGTCCGCGAGGAGTCGAGCAGCGCATACGACAGTCAGGCCGCAGGTGAGCAGACAAACGTTACCAGCGAGCAGGTGGACGTAAGTTCAAGTGAGAGCAACGAACAAACCGCGGCTGGTGAGAGCGACGGCGGCGAGAGATGATGGCCGCCCGGCCCGGCCCGGCCGCCGCCCGGCCCGGCCCGGCTGCCGCCCGGCCCGGCCCGGCTCCCCCCGGGCCGGGCCGGCCCCCCCCCGGCCCGGCCCGGCCCCCGCCCGGCCTGCCGTGTTGACGGAGGAGGAGGAGCAGTCCCGTGCCCTACACCGCGACCGCGCTCTCATCCGCATCTGAACGTAGACGCCCAATCTCGCCGGGTCCGGCCGTGTGACACCGTTCATTGCTAAGGAAGTGTATAGCCATATATATCCACTGACGCTTCGAGTGACGTAGAAGTAGCAGCTTTACATGTAATCGATGTGTCAAAACATTAAATAGTTAATTCTCTCGTAGTTTATACATAGGGTATTCGCGTCCGCGGCGCAGCACCGCGTTTGTTTCACAAAGAAATTCCATCGCCTGAAAGCAAATATAACAGTCTTTCGGATTTCGATGATTCTTTTTGCTAATCGACGTTCATTCTCGAGTTAGCAGATTACAAAAAGAATTGCCTAAATCCTGATAGGTTTAACAAAAATAGGGTTACAGTAAAAACAGGCGAATTGAGACCTTCCTGCATTCGACAGTAGGTCGACAGTTCTGCTACAACAGTGACCGTGTGGGTGCAATTCACGAAATTCTAGTGTTCACAAAAGTCTGTTGTTGAAATGTTTTTAAATTATATTTAATAATATATATATATAATTCGTTTTACAGTAATGGCATACACTTTTTTAGCATTAAATTATAATTCATAAACTGTAATATGTTTAGTTAAATGTTGTTACAATAGCTAGTGAAATTTTGTCTATTTGGTTTGGATTCGTGTATATATATCCGAAACGCACGCAATTGTCTCACGCAGCCCACATCTGCCGTGTCCATATTTAATATTGACATGCGAAATACGGACTGTGTTGCTTTACTAAGCCATTATAGCTTAAGGTGGATTTAGACATAGCTAACGAATTTTGGGGGCGTTCATAAATTACGTGAGATGTTTAAGGGGGGGAGGGGGTCGAGTCAAACCTCATCTAATCCTACGTTGGAGAGAGGGGGTCTCGGTAAATATCACGCAATTTTTTTTCTGATTGAAACAAAAATTATACAATTTTGGTCCATTTAATCCAGATTGTACATGAGCAATATTGCTTAATAGCTTTTGCCCGCGGCTTCGCTCGCGTTCATTTATCCCCTTAGGGATGGAATTTAACAAAATCCTTTCTTAGGGGATGCCTACGTCATAGTATCTTTATGCGTGCAAAGTCTCAGCCCGATCGGTTTAAAATTGACAAAGTTTCATACAAAATTTCATCCTCTATTTTATCCCTTTGGGGGTAGAATTAATTAAAATCCTTTCTTAGCGGATGCCTACGTCATAACGTCTACCTGCATGCCTAATTTTAGCCCGATCCGTCCAGTAGTTTGGGCTGTGCGTTGATAGATCTCTACGTCAGTCACCTTTGAGTTATATGTAAGAAACCCACATTTTGAAAAATCTCACGTGAGATTGGAGGAGGGGTTTGAATAAAATCTCACGACATCTCACCAGGGGGAAGGGGGGAAAGAAAATTAAAAAAATACGTCACGTAATTTATGGACGCCTCCTTACTAGCCATCAAACTTAACATGTCAAAGCATGTTATTTAGTTATTATATCGTCGGATTGCATTCGCGAAAGAATTGCACATTGTTATTGAGTCCAAATTGTTGCTGTTCAGATTCTTGTGCTATTCTTTCAGTCTAATTCCACCTTTGTGTGTTATAGCGACAGTGTGGCGCGATGCCAACAGTTATGTACAAAACACCGCACTATAATAATCATATATAAATTATCACTTACGCAGCACATATCATTTTATTATGTACTAGCTGTACCCGCGACTTCATCCACGTGACATTTAACTTTATTTTTCTAAAATAAAAGTAGCCTAAGTTACTCCTTATTACATCAATCAAAAAAAGTCCCGTCTAAATCGGTCCAGCCAATAAAAAAAAATATTTTTGTATACATACACCAAAATATTTTTTTTATTGGCTGGCTTGGCGTATTTGTATTCATATGCATGTAGTAAAAAACGGTTATTTCGATATTACAAACAGACACCAATTTTATTTATATATATATATATAGATTAATATACAATAAATCAGTGTGTAACATCAAGCGCTCACTAAGGGACGTATCTTTTATCATTATATATTATACTACATATATCATATCACCCCTACATTTTTTTGGTCCTTCGAGCCGGATAAAAAATATTGGGGTTGTTCTTACACTTGTTGATAATGATAATTGATAATGTACGGGGATGATAAATAAAAGATACGTCCCGTACTGAGTGCTCGTATAAATCAGTGTGTAACATACACACTGATTTATTGTATAGAACATAATAAAATGATATATGCTGCGTAAGTGATAATTTATATATGATTATTACAGTACGGTGTGCCGTACAAGTTATATTGTCTATGATCCACACTATCCCATCCCTCGTAACCTCGCTATCTCCTAATTGTCATGCATTTATCAAATCAAATAATTTATAAGCACCGTGATATTCATTGGAGGAATTTATAATTTGCAATGACGTAAACGAACCAAAAAAAAACAAAACAAATCCGATCAAAATATGTTAATTCATGATGGCCGCGGTTGTCTAGCGGTTTAGGATACCGCTTTACTTCCGATGATCGCGGGTTCCATTCATAGCAAGATGCAAACATTTTGTATTCATGAGTACGATTGTTTGTATCGGTCTTGGTGTTTTCTATGTATATTATGTACGTATTAACTAAAAATATGTATTTAAAACATTTGTCTAGTTTCAATATTACTGCCATATTCAAATACTCAGACATAATAAAGTTCAAACTTAAAATTCATTTTGACGGCCTCGGTAGTCTAGCGGTTTGACACACCGCTTTACTTCCGATGGTCGCGGGTTCCATCCCTCGCATGATGCAAACATTTTCTATTCATGAGCACGATTGTCTGTATCGGTCTGGGTGTTTTCTATGTATATTATGTATGTATTTAAAAAAAATATATATCTATGTATATGTATCAGCTATCTAGTACCTGTAACACAAGCTTTAGCAAGTATTTATATCAGTTGTCTAGTGGCCATAATACAAGCTCTGCTTACCGTGGGACTAGATGGCGCTGTGTTAAATGTCCAGGAAAATAAATTTACGGATATATCTTGAGAATTAACGGTCGAATCTCGTTGTACGATCACTAGTCTAATATTATAAATGAGAATATTATAAATTCCTCTATTATGTTAGTAAAATTGTCATTTCTCTGTTAATTTCATAAATAAATTCATAACTGGAAAATTAAGTCTGATGAAATAAATGCGGTCCAATATTCTGCTACTGTTCCATTGTCCTGTACTTCACATACTAATATTTTAATGTCCTTTGTATTTTTATTAATATACACAGTTGTCTTAACACGAATATTTTTATGACAAAAAAATATTTCGTAAAAAAAAAAACTCATTTGGTAACGAAGGCGTCTAGATTGATATGGGTGTCGGCTGGTCATATGGCCAGAATGCCCTCTGAGAGGTGGAGATCATGTGCCCAAAATGACCTCTGAGAGTTGGGGATCACGTGGCCAGGATGGCCATTGATAGGTGGAGACCATGTCACCAAGGTCCCCTCTGAGAGATAGGGACCATGTAGCCATAATCACTCTGATAGGTTGGGATCATGTGGCCAGGATTTCTTTGTAAGGTGGGGATCATGTGGTCAGGATGGCCTTTGATAGGTGGGGACCATGTCACCAAGGTCCCCTCTGAGAGATAGGGACCATGTGGCCATAATCACTCTGATAGGTTGGGATTATGTGGCCGGGATTCCCTTGTAAGGTGGGGATCATGTGGCCAAGATGTCCTCTGATAGGTGGGGATCTTGTGGCCAGGATTCTCTGGTGAGGTAGGGATCATGTGGCCAATATGCCCTTTGATAGTTAGGGTTCATATGACCAGAATGCCCTCTGGGAGGTGGAGATCATAGTAATGCCCTCTGAGAATTGAGGTCGTGTGGCCAGAATACCCTCTGAGAGGTGGAACAAACTTGTCACATATTGGACATCAAGCTATGACCACCGACCTACCATCTACTATGATAGACTAAAGCGAAGGTGGATCGACGATTTGGACCACTTTCTTAGTAACCGATGGTCTATCAATCTCAGGGTTGAAGGTTTGGAGACGCCAGAGACAGGTTTTTACCCAGCACTGGGATTTTAATAAGGCTATATAAAATCGCTCTACGTTTCCATTAGATGTAGATCTTTATTTGTCATAAAACTATTCGTGTAAGAAACGACTTACTATATTACTAAAGTGTACTAAATATGTTAGTTAAAGTAACCTATTGTAAGTTAAAGAACATCTTAGTTTATCGGGGATAGAAACTGGGTTGCAATATGTACAAACTATACAATTTGTAGGGGCAATTCAATTGAGCTTTACTTTCGTATATTGTTACATAAGGCCGGCAGGGACCACGGAATTTCGTCCTCCCAGGTTCAAGTTAATTCGATCCTTAATATATTTCAAGAAGTTGATCCCCTATTGCCCCTAATATCTGTGGGTGCGTGCCCTGACGGTCGCTTGTTCGTCGAGCTTCGTTTCGATACAGGAAACATTTTACACAGATCAACTAAAAGCATCAGATGGAACAGTACGTAAGTTTAAACTTGAACAAACATACTCAAAATAAATATGTTAATAAATATCAATATTTAAACTTGATTAATTGTCAAAAGTATTGATTTGAATGTTTTTTTAATGCAAATGAGTTAAAAGAAATATAACCATAATTAATAAAAAATAAATGGTAGAGACAGCAAACTCGATTGATTAAAAAAGATGTAGATATAAATAAATTTGAAAATATTTATTAATGCTTTTAAATATTTGATATTTAACTGAAGGTGATTTTGATTGTATAAGGATTATCAAAAAAATATCAATATAATATTAAA